GTGATGAGAAATAGGATGAGATAGAAACGAAAGGCTTCTCAGCATAATCTCTCAGTCTGTTTTGTAATTGAACTGGTAACTGTTCCCCCCGCCCCGTCATTTTCTGTCATGGCCACTGGGTCTATTGAACTTTATTAGGTTTTAAAATACCTTATATAAACTGTTTAGTTCTCCTGTGGGAAGAAGGGTCAGAATTCAGTGACAGAACATACTTTTTGCATGCAGAAGGTCCCAAGGTCAGTCCCAGCATTTCCAGGAAAGACTAGGCAGGAATCCTGCCTGAAAACTTGGGAGTAGCTAGTGGGTGTCAACAGAACTAGACTATACAAAGCAGTGGGCTGGCCCTGTATATGTCAGCTTCTCAGTTTCTGTATTGAACACTACCCTGGGATTTGCCATGATGAAGGGCAGTACAGAAATCTTTTAAGAAAACCAAAGTAAAGAAATAAGAAGTTGGGATGGGTTAAATGGCACAAATAAGATGATGCAATTTGGGGATACAGTTAAAAGGTAAGTTAAGGGCAAGGGGAGATCAAGAAAGAGAGGCTACCAAAGCATTTGTACCACAATATCTTTATTAAGACCACCTGAGAACATCATAGAGTATTAAATTGACCTGAACTCTAACCAAGGCTGGATTGTAAGCACATACTTATATTAGGATGATTGTTTTATAAAACTTGTGTAAATGTTTAGTAGTTTTCACTAACTAGTGAGAGATAAAGAGGATATCGCTCTCCAGAATAAACTAGTATAAGCAGACTTGTACATGTTGACTCAGAAGTTTAAGGGGACTTGTCACTATGCATATAAATAGTTGGAACAGATTTGGTTAAAAAATGGGAGGATGGTATATTTAAGTGCACACCAGGTTATATAGACTTAGTCATCTTTTGTATGCTTGTAAGTGAGAACAAATTCTTATCAGTTAATTATTGTTGCAGAAATACTGTCAGAAAAACACAGCTTAATTGTCTAGCTAAATTTTGTCCTCAAAAGCTGGCACAATATACCTAGCTGTCAAACTCATTTCTTTCCTTCTTCCTGAAGCAGGGGTAGATGCTGGTGAATCTACCCCTGCTATAGAATGCAAATACGTTTTACTTCATACAGCCTTGACCGCTCTGTGAACTTCTTAAATTATGCCTATGCCTCTTAAATCTTGTTTTAATGTACTTTGCATTACATTCAAAAAGGGCAATCCATAGTCCTGATAGTATTATTCCATGTATTCTCAAAGGGCTGCTTTGGTCTCACTTAACTTACAATTCTAGAAGATCATAAGCTACATGTGGAAGTGCGTTATTGAGAGAAGAGTGATAAGATTCTACCACATCTAAATGTTCCATTTCTCATGGAGTATAATAGTAATAGTTCTGTATGTAATGTACCCCACCCATGCTGAGCACATGGAAGCCGCTCACTGTTAAGCAGCAACTACTTTCTCTAGGAACAAGGAAGGCAACATGATACCCTCCAGATGTTTTGAAGTCTAACTCTCATAATCCCCAGGAATCTGCGGAACATGTGGTAGGCATCAGGATTGCTATTCCTGATCTAGAGGGCATGCCCAAGGACCACCATGCAGTAGACCAGACATTTAGTAAGTGTACACTTAAGAACCTAAGTTGAACCCTGCTGGATCATACTGGTGGCCCATCACATTTACCATCCTGTTTCCCAGAGGAGTCAACCAAATGACTCTGGGCAGCCCTATATACAAGTGATAAGACCAAAAGCCACTTCATATTTTTGCTTCCAGGCAGCTGATATTCAGTGCCTTGCTGCCTTGAACCTGAATATTCTCAATACTCATGATGACTAATAGTTGTTGATAAACTTATCCTCCATGGATTCAGATGTAAGCTCTGGTTTCTGAATGTGCAGTGTAATTTCTGGTCCAGAAAAATGTATTGAACAGCATGCATACATTTGGAAAATGTGCATTAAAAAGTATACTTTTGAAAAATTTGCTCAAATACTTACTGGGAGAAGAATTATACATTTCAAAGATGTGCACAGTTGATGTATACATTTAAAACACACTCACAAAGATGTAGATGGATTTTTATGCCATGAAGAAGAAGATAAAGACAATGAAGCAGCAGCAGGGGCTAGTAGTCTGATAATGGACTTGAGTGGAATGAACTTTGTGATAGATTTCAGAGAACTTCCACAAGTTCAGGTATTGTTGATTTGCACAGTTGTATTTTCTGTCACCAAGGAGAGCTGTTTCTGGGCTTCAGATCCCCCCTGCCGTGTGTGTGTATGGGAGAAAAGGATGGAATCACATGCATAAATACACACCCCAAGCCACCCACGCACAGAGCAAGCTGCACCTAGCATTGGATCTAATTCTACCCTCCCATCCCATTCTACCCTCCCACCCTCCCATCAACTGTGGCCCCCAACTGATTTTTTTCCCATAGGTTAACAAGCTTTCGAAGCCCCTCCAAAGGTTCCTTACCCATGTCTTTGATTACCCAGTCTATAGACACTCTTCCAAGTTTAACCTCTTACAGCAAAACTAACCTTATACATAGCATACAGTTCTGTATTGTGTTTTTCCTTAATTACAGTTCAAAAGGGATCTTGTGCAGAACATAGCACACAAGGAGAAGGAGTGTGTTCCCTTTCTTCCCCAGCATGATTCAGAATTACACCCCCACTCATGGGCATGGCTAGAATGCTTAAATCAAAGGTCCTGTTGGCAACAGTGCGGGCTTCTTATCTATACATCTTCCGACCATGAAAAAGTGGGTTGTTTTTCCAATTGTGCTGAGGAGGAAAGAGATAAGCTTGTCCTCCTGATGTGCTGCAGTTGAAACTCTGCTCTGTAATTAATTATAGAAAGATTAAATGTTCTTGTGTGAAGTGCCATATAGCACATCTAGTTTGACCCTTAGGATATAGGAACTTAGGAAGCTGCTGTATACCAACAGTAAAACTATTGATTTTTCTAGTCCAGTATTGAACTCCTCTTCATGTATGAGTTCTGTCCCATAATTAGTTGAAAATGAGATGCTGCATCACAAGAGAACATTTAGTTTAGCTCTTCGGTTATAGGAGCTTAGGAAGCTGCTTTATATCAGGCCAGACTGTTGGGTAATCTGGTCCATTGAGTGGTACAGTTCTCCAAGTCTCATCTGAGTCCTTTAGGCAAAGATGCTGGTGACTGAACCAGTGACTTTCTGCATGCAAAGCAGGTCTTCTGCCCTCACACAGTGTCGAACTGTCTGCTCTTCTGTGGAGATGCTGTTTTAAACACAGAACAACCAGAAGAGACGCTACTGCTCTTCTAAGGAAATTTAACTGATGCATGTTAACACCAATTCTGACCCACTTGTTTTGGCTACTTAGATGCTTCAAAACTTAGTATCAAGGCACTGTTTTTAGTCTATAAAGCCCACACAACCTGGGAGCACAATAGCTGACAGAAAGACTCTCTCAACTGCAATCTGCCTAGACACTGTGCTCAACCTCTGGGGTCTTCCTCTGAGTGCCACCTCAGGGGAGACTTGGTTTGTAGCATGAAGCAGAAGGGGCTTCCCAGTAGCAGATCTTCAGCTATGGAACAAGTTCTCCACCAAGACCTGCCTGTTGCTAACCCTACTATATTTTTGTGGCAAGGAATTTAATTAGCTTTAATATTACATTAGGGCATTATGTCAGCTGCATAATAGGTCATTTAATTTAATTTGCACTAGCTATTTAAGCTTTTAAAATGTGGTTTAGAATTGGATTTTACATTTTGTACTGTATTTTTGTAATCCATAATTTAAATTATGTTTTTCTTGTATTTTCTGTACTGTTGCAAAGCTCCTGGGGATCTTTGGCTATTCAGTGGTATAGAAATGAAAATGAATTATTATCATTATTAAATAAATCTCTCTCCCGTTGTATTTTAGAACTCATGGACTTTTACCATTTAACTGAAACAGGCTGGCTTTCAGTGTGATGTACAGGCAAATGGAAGAGTAGAGAAAGCCATGTTGCAAGAATAGTATTCAACCCTCCAAGAGAGAATGTGCTGAGCTGGTTCAATATGCTACTGTAACAGTCAGAGAAGATTGTGTGAGTGTTAGAAAAGAAAGCAACCAAGTGTGTGTGTGGAGGAAAGAGAGAACCTACTGAAAACAGAGCCAGATACTAAATCTAGAAACAGTTTACCAAAGCAATTTTTTCAGAAGATCTCTACCCTAAAGTTTTGGAAGAATATTAATACAAAGCTTTGTTAGCCAGTCTAATTAAACAGTTATGAAACATCAACTGTTTACACTATAAGACATAGGAATATTTACTTTGTAATAATGGTTGGTTTATATAAACATTTTAGACTACTGGGCAAACATAGCTGATTGTAACATACCAACAGGCATTATACTGTGTAAGCAAACCAAACGGAACCAAAGTAACTAGTTCAGACACTTCAACATTCGGGAAAGACTTTGTCAAGCTAATACATGACGAATTAATGGTCTGGATAGATAGATTTCACAGAATCATAGAACAGTATCTGAAGGGCCAAAAAAACCATTGGGGCCAACCCCCAGCTTAGTGCAGAACTCCAGGTTAAAATACCTTAACAGATGGCTGTTCAGCTGCATCTTAAATGTCTCCTGTGTGGGAGAGCCTGCAACCTTCCTAGGTAATTGGCTCCATTGTTGTATGGCCCAGTCAGGATTTTTGTTCTGATGTTCAGCTAGAATTTAGCTTCCTGCAACCCGATCCTGTTATTTTGTATCCTGCGCTCTGGCATGGTTGAGAAAAGATCTTGGCCCTCCTCTGTATGGCAGCCTTTCAGAACTGGTGCTACCATACTTCCATTAGGTCTCCTCATTTTAAGACTAGACATGCCCAATTACTCCAGTCTCTTCTCATAGGGCTATGCTTCCAGTCCCTGATTATCTTTGTTGCCTTCTTCTGAACCTTTTCCAGTTTGCCTGCATCTTTCTTAAACTATATGGCAATAATACTCCTGTTCTGAACTTGTGTTTCAGGCCTTACAATCATGAGACGAATCTTACTTGTGTTTCTCCTGGCTGCTGGAGTGATGTATGTTATACTGCACTGCACGATCTGGAGGACAAACAGCTACTGGTAACATTAGTATCTTTTTAGCTACGCTACCTGCAATTGTGTATCTTATTCAGGAGTTGGAAGGCATTTTCTTATGGATAGGCAATAGTTTTGGGGAGGTATATCTCATAGGGAGGTGTTAAACAGCACCCAGAGAGCTTCAGCTATTGGGCAGTATAAAATTAAGAAGCAGAAGCAGAAATAATAAGGCATTAATCAATGGTGTCATACTGTCACTGTAAAAAGCATCGTGCTAGCAGAAACTAGGTTCTGAACTATGTGTGAGGGGAGAATCCAACTAATGTTATGTTTATGCAAACAGTTGCACAAGATGTTGTTCAGCCACTCTGAGGAGAATGGATTATCTGATACTCCTCCAGCACTGTTTGTGTTTACAGGATGACATTGTGGGTTATTGCCCCAAAATGCAACCCAGACTGAAGAATCACTGAATTGCTTCTTTAGTATAGTGACAACATTCATACTATGTTCAGGTGTTTCCCTTAACCATCCAGCTTGTGGAGCTTAGTCTACAATGTAATCCTGGCATATTTTGTCAGACATGTGTCTCACATTACATCTGTATGTTCTTTTACTGGTTGTAGGGCACTGGATATATGGATAACATCTTTACAGTGCAACCCTATGCATGTTTGCTCTGATGTTAGTCCCACAACATTCAGTAGGACTTCATTCCAGGGAAAAGTACTCATAGGACTACAGAATTAATTAGATATTTTTGATAGTGCCTGTTTTTATCAAATAGTTTATGCATTATTTTATGTAATTATCCTTAGAGAGTCTTTTGGATCTCAACTGGGATAGAAATTTAAATAAGGAATTAAATAAGTAAATGTTCTATAAGGCAGTGTGGATGAGGTAAAAATTATTTTTAAAACATAATTTATCAGTAAGAGAAATTTCTGTATTCTGCTTTTTGTGAGTCATTGAATTGGTGGATTAGAATGACTAGCCCATAGAGTGTATAGATTAAGGCCTGCTTTTTAGAGGAAATAACAAGTTCCTGCCTTCTTTCTGCATAAGGATTGGTTTAAATGAACTTTGTACTCATATTCCATCTTATTTATTAACTTTTGTATTACATTTCTTTGCTGTTCAGTAGTTGTAGCCATTCCTCTTGGAAGCTCCACTTGATTAGCAACTTCTTGGGACAAACCATGGTATACTGTGACAGATAATTGTCTGTAAAAGTTTGTTGTGAAGAGAATATTTGAATTAATTTCCTTTCTTTTCTTTTTTTTAAAAAGGATTTCCCTAAGAGAAATCTTCAAGAAAAGTGAGGAAAAGTTCTATAGAATGTAAGGCATAGAAATAAGCAATTTCTATTTCTATTTATTTAGTACTGAGATGTTATTTCTGAAGCAAATAAATGATCAGGAATAAAGCAGGCTATGCTGGAGGCAATTTTTGCTTTGTTAGCTATTTTAATATGACATTTTTTGTTTCCTAGGTTGCCTCCAACAGATTCAGCCAGAAAAGAACAAGTAATAGACTGCACTTCGAAATCCAGTATTTCAACCTCAATTAAGTAAGTAGGAAAGGGTGGTGGCAGTTCATCTGTACAGGGTCCTGGTGGTTGTGCTCTCCCTGAAGGAAATGGTTCACAGCCGAGAGTGTCCTGAAATAGCTCTGTCATTGGAAGTTCGGGTCGCCTCTGTGGCACAAGGCAGCCTTGGCCAGCTTATGCTGGTGAAACAATCTGCAGCCCTCCTGAAAGGAGGAGCCTGGCCTCTGCTATCCATGCCCCAGTACTCTCAAATTGAGAACACTGTAATGCGTTATACATGGAGCTGCCTTCAAAAAGGTTTTGAAAACTAGGTTAAGTCTGATACACAGCTGTGAGGTGCTTAAATCGTAACTGGCATTGTGACCACATTGTACCCCTGCTTGCCAACTGCATAGGCTTCATTTGGTTTCCAGGCTCAACTCAAAGTGCCAAACGTGATCTTTAAACCCTAGACTTTAAGACCAGGTACCTGTACTTAGGCCTGCCTGCATGCTGAGATCTTCAGCAGAACCTCTTCTTGGGGCCTGCGCTGTGGGATGCTCTTTGTCTTGGGAGCTCACCTGGCAGTGGCCTTGATGTTGTTTTAATGCTTGGCAAAGACTATTTCATTTCCCTAGTGTGTTTGTCTGAGCTCTTTTGCTGCTCTTTTAAACTGTGTTTTTAATTGATTTTAGTGTAATATTGATTTTTTGTAAGCTACCCTTAGAGTTTGTTGCAAGTCAAGGTATAAATCCTAATTTATTATTTATTTAATGGAATGCTGATGGAAGGTTGCTGAATGTAGGGCACATTTACCACATAGATACCTTTCCAGAATCTTTGATGCTTGACTCTAAAGAACTCTAACATCAACACTGATGCTTTTAAATATTAATTAAAGAAATTTTGGTCCATTAGTCCATGCTGTCTGAGTAGCTTACAATATAGAATAAAATGAATTAAACAGTATCCTGGTAAATAGGTAAAATTAAAAAGCAGCATCAATAAAACACCCAAGGTGACAATTACTATCACAGGATCTCCAGATAAACAATCTATCTACTTTAGCTTAAAGATCTCTGAAATAGAAGTGTTTTATAGTTCAAGCTTATGCATGTTTGTGCAGAAGTAAGAACCATTATATTTATTACTTCTGCTTTCTGAAAAATACATGACAATTAAACTTCCTGGGCAGGGAGTTTCAGAGCAAATACACCCTTGGTGATGAGTGTTTGGATCTTAGCAGGGCACCCTGCTACATTATAATAGCTACATTATTTGCACTCACAGCATGAGGAGGTGGGTGTGCAGTGTCTTTGAAAACAAGTTCAATATTTACTGATAGACATTGAGGTTTGATCTGTCGATTGCTGCAGATTTCATTAAATTTATTGCTTTCAGAGGACTGTATTTTTGCAAGGCTGTGAATGACTGTAAATCAGACTGATGAAAAATAGTATAGAAGCATGGTAAATAAATACATAGGAGGAGTTGTTCATTTAGTTGAAAAGCGCTGAGACTCTGTAGGACTTCAAAGGTTAAAATGAGCCACCTCAGTTGAGCAAAGCAACCAAAAGGACCAGCATAATGGTCCTCTCTCCAATTAAACGTGGCCAGTTGCAGTTTCCAAAACATTTGGAAGTGCAGCCCAGTAAGTTGTCTAGTCTAGAGTTTCTAGTCTATAAAAATCAGTGCTGCAAAACACCAAGTATGTTGCATCATGGCATCAGAATGGCACAGTGCCAGCCATGCAGCTCACAGGCAAGGACTATTCCAAGTGTGAAACAATATATGTTGAGCATGGCAGCCTCTAAGACATGAGTAGGAGCCCAACTCAGTGCGTATCAAGTGTGATACCTATCTGCCAGCTTGTTCTAGTGCAAAAATATTTGCAGCTTTGGAGAGAACTTAATGTTTGGATTTTTAGGTTGCTTTTCTGAGTAACAACTTGGTTCTTCCATTCCCAGTGCCCATAGCTGCTGGACTATAAAAGTGACCCTGCCTGGAATGACATATGAAAATAGTTCCCATTTGCTTTTTCTGCTACATTATGGAACTACATCTGTGATGTTCTCCAGTCTGAAAGAAGTTCTTAGTTAGGTTTGCTTGTTAAAGCACATCAGTCTTTTTAAGGCCATGTGTGATCAGAAGATGTAACATGTACAGGGAGATAAGTCCCGCCAATTGCAGTGGAAATGCCTTGCAATGGGTATTGCTTTGCATGGAGCTAGGTCAGTCATCCATCTCTCTATCTTTTCTCACTGGCAGTGGCTGTCCACTGTCAGATATTTTCCCACAGCTCTATCTAGAGATGTCTGGGATTGTACCTGAACCTTCTACATGCCAAACATGTTCTCTGCCACTTTTCTATAGCTTTCCCAGTAAGATCATGTTGTATGGGAGGAGAAGGGTTGTGTCATTATTTGTATAGCTACCTAGGAGCTCTTCGTTTGCTTGAAAATTGGTTTGGACTTCCAAGCAGGACTGACCATAACTGAGAAAAAGCAAAGGTTTTGTGTAAAATCCAGATCTAACATAGTGTGTTTATTTGCAGAACTGTGATGTAAGATCACAGTTAGCACTTTCTGTTCAGCAGGCTAATTTAAGGACACTTGCTAACAGAACCAAGTTGAAGACTAAAGAAATAGAAGGGATAAGTCTTTGCCCTACCTCTCAGGGTGACCTCTGCTTAGGTTGGCTCTGACTGATGGGAGTTATAGGCTGAATGTCTAGAGGGCCAGATGTGCCCCAGCCCTAAAGTTAGTAACACCAAGATAGGCTGGTCTGTCTTAAAAAAAAAAAAAGATCCGGCACACCCAACATTCCCCTGCTCTAGTTCCAGATTAATATGAATGGGTTTCAGGCTATTCAGGGACTGAAATGCATTTTGTTCCTGCTCAAGGTAACACCTGGGTTTCCGCAGTATGTTGTCCTTGCAGGTGATCACAGAGTAATTCAGCACTGGATGTCTGAACCTGGAATAGTTTTTCTCTGGTGGGTAGCTTTGCACAAGCAAGACACCCTGTCTTGCAGTAGGATGTTTAGAGTGGCTTGTTCTCGGGGCAACTTAGTGTAACGTCCAAACCTAGTAGAATATTTTTAGTATGTATGTATGTATGTATGTATGTATGTATGTATTTAGAAAGCTTCTATGCCACCCCATTTGCCCCATTTTTGTGTATTGTCACACTGGCTAGATAGCTGGGCAGCAAAATCAGCAACAAAAATCCCTTCTGCTCATTGCAGTCTGGTACTGGAGAGCTGATATTCTCTAGTTAGAATAGTGGACTGAGGACTCAGAAGATCCAGGTTCTAGTCCTCACTCAGGCATAAAGGTCACCAGATGACTTTGAGGCAGTCAGTCAGTCCCTCTCGGCTAACTTACCTCACAGGTTTGTTGGTAGGAGGATAAAATGGAATGGTGGAGGACTATGTAAGCTGCCTTGGGTTCCTCACAAGATAAAGAAAGGTCTAACATAATTGTAATGTAGTGATAATACTGCTGCCTCCAGTCATCTTCATTCCTCCCCAGTCTCAAAATAGACTCATTTTTCGTAGGAATCATGATGAAGGACACCCAGAAAGTGTCTTAGGTGCATTCACTAGTGTTTATGTATATATTTTTTATCTTTGGGATGTCATAGTTTTAATGTCAAGGTCAGTGTAGTATAGTAGTTAAAGGGCTGGAGGAGAATCTGGGTTTTACTTTCTACTGAGCTGCAGTGCTCATTGGGTGACTTTGGGACAGTCATTGATTCTCAGCCTTACCTACCACACAGGTTTATGTGAAGAAAAGATAGAGAAGGCAAGGATAATTATGTAATTTGTCTTGTGTTCCTTGAAGGAAAAATGGGATATAAATAAAACAAATAAGTAAAAGGCAGGAAAATTGTGTATGTCTCTGTGTGTCCCACTTAGACACATTATCCAAATTGATGCCATCACTTTGAACCACTATTTTGTCCCTGGAAAAAACCCGAGAATTTTTACCTCCAGCCCACCCAAAGTCATCTAGCTGGTTTGCAAACTGATTTAAATTCAGTAAGAATTCAAAGAGGCAAGAAAAGTCTAATGCTACGATCTTAGACCTCTTTACTTAGAAGCAAGCCCTACTGAGTTCAGTAGAACCTGTTCCCAGGTATGTTCTGTAGGACTACAGCCTTATTTAGTTTAAAATAAAAAGAGGCAAATATTATGGATGAGAGCAATACAGAAAAGGTAGAGAAGTTAGAGATTGAGAAAGAGTCTGAGGAAAGACAGACAGAAAGATTGATTTGCATATGTCCTTCTCAGTTGTCAGAGCTCAAAAAATGCTTTTGGTTTTGTGGTCAGATGCACTGAAGGGGGAATTTCCTTTGTCAGGGGACTTTATTTGCTAATAAACATGGTTTACTTTTTTCAATATGTCTGCAGTGGGTTTGAGATTTGGCTCTTTTGTTCACACTGCCATCCCTCCCTTTTCTCCCCTCCCATCACCCTTTTTACATTTTTATGGTAAGATAAGGAAATATGCCCCTTGTATTAAATTACTGCATGTTTTTCTCTCCGGTTGAAGTCACAAAACTTTTGTAGAATAAGAAGCATTGAAATTCTAGGCAGAGCACTCCACACTGTATTTGGGGAAATTAAACTGGGGGTCGTCCAGACCTTATCAGGGGATCTTGAGAGTACTAGGGCAAGCTTTCCCACCATAAACACTGTCACCCCACACATCTCCCTCTGCAATGCAGTGAGCAGTAGGGTCAGGCAGAGGTGGTGACTGGAACAGGCATAACCCTGCACCTGCTGTGGAGGAAACCACCCGCAAGAGTCCTTTGGGGTTAGTCCTACTCTTTTTTACATTGTTTAAAGACTGCATCACGTTATACATTACATGGAAATGCTCACACCTATAAATAAATATAAAAAAGCAAATTCTTCTTCCATATGTTCATCCTGCACTGTAAGGGAAGACTGAAAAGAATGGAGTAAATAGGCAGCCTTTTGCTCCTATGTAACAGCACATTTTTTTAACCTTGTGACATGAAAGGGCTTGGAAAATTATTTTCATTTTGCAATTTGATAAGAAGTGGGGGTAATTTCCCTTGTCAGATGGCAATCTGAGCAGGTGAATTGTTGAAGGTGTACTGATGAAGGTAATGAGGAAATGAGAATTTCTGCTGCAAAAGCCCCGGGATATATGCCAGTAGAAGTCTGATGAAATGCTGTGGAGTAAGTGAGCATTTGTTGAGAGTGAAATACAAATCACCCACCCATGGTGGCTTCTTCTCAGAATGCTTAGTGTGCTGTACATTTCTGGAAGTGTGGTTTCGCTTAAGCTAGCTGAGAAGTTTTGCAAAGAACTTTGCATTTACATTTACTGTTGTTCTTTACCAATCAGTAATTGAAATTCCCTTGATAGTTTTATTAAATAACTTCTCATATATCAGGATTGGAAAGTACTTATTTTATATAAGGCTAGATACTTATTGTTCTACAAAAATCCTTTGTCGTCTTATCAAGAATTCATCAGTTTCCTAATCAAGGTTAAGACTTTTAATGTTCTTTCAACATGCCATTGGTTTATAGATTTATGACTTTCCTTTAATCCTACTGAAACTACTCACAATTCACTGTGTTTTTAAAGAGTTGTTCTAGCTAGGAAAAATAGGCCTGTTCTGTGTAACAGATGGCCATAATACCAAGCAAGCATGTTTGTGAGAATTTGTGTTTAATACAAATACTTTGTCCCAGAGATCACAATTATATTTCTAAAGAGTATACTTTTTGTTGATTATTGGATTTCCACAATCCTAGCTGGATCTATTCACTGACAGAGCAACTGACTGGTTTGAGAGGAGCAATTTCAACTGAGAAAATGGAGTTGGAGGAACAACCAATTCCCTCTGTGTTGCAGCTCTTTGGATCTTACATGTTGGAGATATTCTTCCAATGCATGATGCTAATGGACAGCTTTAAACAAATCCAATAAATACATAATGCATCTTTCACCTCATATTAAGTTTGCCCTTCAAATTCCTGAGATGAAAATGATATTAGTATTCATGTTATGTTACATGTGTTTGTGCATAGGGATGTGGGAGGGGGGATCTTACTAGCTTACTTTTAAGATAACAATAAGCCTGTCTTCAACTGTATCTTGGCCTGATCCACCTGGAAGGGCCTACTTGATTTTCTGTACTGGAGTGGAGATGGTGTGGGAGAGCCAGTTGTGACAGAGCTGATCAGGCCCGGACTACATGCCATATTGGGCCTCAGAGTTGATGCTTTGCCCCAAGCACTTGTGGACCCAGATAGTTTCTTGATGTCTCTGGGGTACTTTCCTGCAGATTTGTCTGGCAATCCCATCTCTACTGGGAAGGAGATGACACGGGCTGTTGATAAGACTGCTCCCAAAACAGCCTATATGAAACTGCAGGGCCATTTCATTTGTTCCTTGGTATTCTTTAGAACAGAGAGCAGTGAAATGGTTGGGTGGATGACTGGAGAGCAAATGGCTTGTGCTGGCTTTTAAAATGTTTTGATATCTCTTCTCTTAGGATAGAGAAATCCTATCCCTTCCTATGCTGCCATAATTTTCTGCAAGTTTCCCAACTTCATGAAAGTCACAATCTTGAATTACCCTATGGAATAAAGAAAGCAGGTAAGTAATGGTTAATACATGCAACAAGTTATGAAAGTGAACCTTTTATTATTACTATTTATTAAAAGGTTTGTGTTTTTTTAATGTGCAGTGTTTAGAGACACAAAGCACACAGTGGGGGAAAGGTTTGGAGAGCGAACTTATAAGACAAAATTTTGATTTCCTGCTCGCTTTTCATATGTGGTATTAGGTAAACCCTTCTGTAGTCTCTCTGTGTAGAATATGAGAGGCATGAATAACATATCTGAGAGTAAGTCCTTGAAAGAGTCCATTGCTTAAATGAAGAGGGAGATATGCAGAGTTAACCAAATTTAATTATGAGGATTTACATTAGAAGTACATTCTGCCACTGCAGGAGAAGGAGTTTCAGGCTGCTTCCTCACATTTTTGTCACCTATAATGGAATAAAAAAAAATTCCAGAGCATGCTTTCTTCCTGATACTTGAATGACTTTTGTCACTACAGTATCTCAACTTCCATGTGGTGTTAAGGGAAGTATACTCAGGTGGATTTTCTTGTTGTTTATGGAAGAGGAAGAGGAAGAAAAATCCCACACAGAGCTTTAGTTTGCAGGCACCTTAGCTTGAAAAAGTACTCAAAGTACTTGTGTTGTATTTTGTTGATACAGTAAAGCATTGACCCCAAAATCTTTTGTGTTACAGAAAGGTATTTTCAGATGGCACTTTCAAAACTGAATAACTGTGGGCTCTTTGCTGAAGATGATGGGTAAGATTGTTTACAATATTATTGACCTTTGATTAACAATACAATGCTTGGGTTGTATAATTTGTATAATTTGCACTTTTTAAGGTGAGAAAGGGATATTTGCACTTTTAAAGAGAGTTGTATGATATACAGAATTGCTTAGTGTATAGCTACGTGGAATTCAACATAAATTTTTATGTAGAAGAATTGACTATTTTGTGGATTTTTTCATTAAAAAGCCAGGCATGTGAGTTGTCGACTTGAACATGGAACTTTAAAGATATAATTTTGCTGGTATGCTTAATTCCCTCTTTGGAGATAATTGGATAGAGAAATGGGGGATATTTTTGGCTGCTTCAAAGTCACACGGTGGAAGCAGTTCTGCCATGATTTACCCTCCCCCTGGTAGGATTGCTCTTCCCACCTTTATAATAGTCAAGGTAAGATTGTGTTAAATATAAGTTAAGAATATAGGAAGATCCATGCCAGATCTGACCAAGGTCCATCTAGTTCAACTGTTTTGTATGGCCAACTAGCTGCCCATGGGAAACCGACAAGCAGGATGTCTGTGGCAATTCAATCCTCCATGGCAGCAGCTTCTCATTACATACGTAATGAGGCAGGAAAGGGTCTTGGGTTGTTTGACAAGCAATCCAGAACCATGGGCTGCTTTACGGTTGTGGGTAGACTGTCAACGATTCCAACAACCTATCCTCAGTGGGTTTACATGTAACTACAAGCTGTGGCATGTCCCCACTTCATCCGAAAGATTCAAAATAATGGACACTGTGAGGAGCCTCATGGGGAAACTCTTCCATGGGCTTCTTATTATATGTGAAGGCTGAGAAATTTTCAACACTCTGTGTATGCATATAGAAGTCAGCAGGCTCCAGTGGAAGTAGGTCATACATATATCTGTGCGTGAAGGAGGTACCCAAGCGCAAAGGCAATGCATTTCAACCCCTTTTGCAGTAGTAAGATTAGTCCAAATAGGGCAGACTTTAATATATCTTTTTATTGTTTCAGTGCAAGGAGATAACTTGTTACTTCCCCAGTTACATGCATTGAGCTGCAAACATATCACAAAGAGCCTCACTTTTGACTGCGTTTCATGATTTGGGGTTCCATATCTTTTGGGGACAAGTATTGACATTACTAGAGCCTTCGTGCATTTCTTCCCCATGCGAATTCTAGTTCACAGATTGTGACTGGTTGTTCCACAGCAAGAGACGCATGCTTTTTATGTTAGGCAGGAAATTCCAGGAATTCTCATTTCTGTAAGCATATGGAGCATCTACTTCACAACAGTGGGGAGAATATCCTGCACATAATGCAGATCATTTTATTTATTTCAATTTGCATTTCTAAACTGGCACTGAAAAGGCACCAAACTGGCAATCCCCTTTGGCAGCCACCCTTCAAGAGCTGTGGCAGCCCAAGGGTGCCACCCTGTGCACCAGCTGACTGTGAAGGCATGACTGGTCCAGACCCTACCTGGTCTTGATCTTTGCCTCTGATCCACATCATAAGATGTTGGAATCATGACTCTTCCCTCCTTTCCCCAGTGCCTGTGCTCTCACCCCACAAACATGGTGGGGGGGGGGGCTGCAAGTGACAAGCAGTGGGGGTGGCAGAAAGCTCAGCAGTCAGCACAGTGTCAAGGGCAACAATGAAGGCAAGCAGATCACCACACATACACACATACACTCTGGCATAGGATCCAAGTGGTATAGTTACATAGTCCTGGGATGCTGATCAGGTGGGAAAGACCTATGTGAATAGTCCTGTCTGGGTACCTCTCATGCCCTAACATGTGCATAAGGACTATGTGGCTCTGGATCTGCTGTTGGGGTTCAGTTCAGTCTTGTTCACCATTGGCTCTGCTGATCAAGGCTGATGGGAGTTACAGTAAACAATGTTGGGAAGGCCATTGACATGGGATCACAGCACAGGGAAGGGGGTCCTACATTTCTTTCAGTGTGTAAAAGAAGTATGTCTAAACCTTGTTATCAGTAATATAGAAGGAGAATCCTAAGAGTGACAGTTGCTCCCCACAGCAGGAATGAATTTATGTCTTCATGCCTTTCTTTTAAATGCTTGGTGCCCCTCTTCTTTCAATTCAGATGAGAGGATAGATGACAAAGGGACTTGAAATGAGAAAATGGATATCTTCTGGGCTAATCGAGTTCAGTCTCATCCTGATGCTGGGGATAGATACTGTATATGTATGATTACAAATTCAATGAGTGCAGAGAAGGCAACAGGAAAGCTTTGTTCCTTTGCTCCCAATTGTGTGTTCAGTCCCCAAAAGTTGCCCCACCTCAAATATAACATGATTAGTCCATTCATTAGCAACTGAACACTTGAAGTACATGTGACATGGAGCTCTGTGTTGCTTTTTTCTTAATTTTTTTTTAACTGAAAAGCAGTTACAGAATCTACAATCAGGAGCCGAAGACTGGCAGGAAAATTACTGGCCCTCAGTTCCTCCCTTCTACTTAATTCTTTAAACACCTGTTTCCTATCTGGTAGTCTCTATTTTCAGAAACATTCAGGTTTCAGTCTGCATTCTTTAAGTATAGGGATAATCTCCTTCTCTCTTCACTTATTACCAGCATGTCTGGTTTTCTGTCTTTGTGCTCATTATGGTGCAGAAGAATTTCATTTACTGTTCTACCCATCCCCAAGAAATACCTTCTCACAGTGATACCTTAACCACACATCCTTTCTTCTCTCAGCAGTTCATCCTGTAAAAAATGTGTCGTCGTTGGTAATGGAGGGGTCCTTCGAAACAGGAGTCTGGGGGAGACGATTGATTCTTATGATGTGATAATCAGGTAAATGAAATTTCTGTTGCTAAGCGAAGTTTAGGGAATGTAATTATGAACAGATATTTTGTGTTTAATACACTAAGGCTGTATTCATTCTTGGGCTGGGGCTGAAATAAAGTTGCTTATCTAAGGGTAGCCAGCATATTTATGAATTAACAGGGAGCAGCTATTTTCCTATTATGCTACAACAGCTCCTAGGAGATGCTTCCATTTTAATATAATCAGTTTACTATTATTTATTGTTGTCATTGATTATTTATGGTTGTATTTTTGTTGTTCCTGTACATGATGATATAATATCCTGATGTGATGTCATAATGATGACATGATTGTCATTATCACAATAATGATGATAACATTTATATACCACCACATCTGCTAAAGCCATCAAGGTGGTGTACAACAATTTAAAGCAATACAACCTTGTAGTAGTGAAAACAAGAATGTTAAGTGTCTAGGGGACAGTAGGGGTGTTTAGATTTCCAGCTCTGAGGTTGGAAAATTGCTCTGCCTAAGATCTGTGCTTCAGTTCCCACTTACTCACCCTTTGCAATAGCTATGGAAAGAATTGTGTTGGTTGCTTCTCTTAGGTCTCAAAGCAGCCTTGGAGAAGAGTTATAGTTGGCATTCTAGGGGCAGAGTGGCGAGGAGACGAGCTCCACTGGAATATAACATATCCTGGGGGTATCTCAGCCTCCTTCTCTCCCTTTTCTAAATGCCACCATTGGACAGCTGAAATTGGCTCTCAAGTGGTAGAGGTGACCTTTCTCTTCATGCTTCTTCCTCTCTGCATAGGATGCCCATAGTCCTATGAGTTTCCAGGGTTTCTGACATCTCCATAGGACTGAATCTTTAAGCACAACAGACTACATATTTTAGAAGGCTAAATTGAAAGGATACCTCTCTGCTCCTTTTCTAAAAGTGTCATAGTGAGGTTCAGTTCTAATCTGTAAGGAAGCACCTTCTATGGTTTGGGGTCAACACAGGAGACAGGAATTTCCCATGTGTCCAGTCAAGCATTACTCTGTAGGTAATGGTGCCCTTACAAGCAAAATTTAACCTGCGTCTTGCAATCACTTGTTTCCATGCAAAATAACAATTACCATGAATAGTTCATTTAATTAAAGGTCACCATAGACAGTGCTTGTTATCCACTGAACAGACTTGGATACCTTCCTTCTCCTTTTGTAAAACCATAATTTTTTGATTACTGTTTTTATACAATAAGTGCAGCCACTTGAATAAGCAATTTCTGAAAGTGTGTGTGGGGAGGGGATGCCCAGCAGCCATCTATCTTGCAGTGGCGGCGGTGTTGGTTATTGTGGGAGAGGGATAAAGGACAGTTACAAGAGGATATCTTGGGATACAGAAATTGTAGAAGAAGCAGAGACATGGGGTGCAGAATCACTGGTGTGCAGGTGAAGGATGGAGAACCAGAGGGGCACGGAGAAGGCCAGCAATGTGCTACAGCCAGGTTACCTTAGCAACAAGGAGTAGCCCAGCTCCAGTAACTACACTAGCCGCCATAGGAAGTTGGCAAACAAGGGCATAAGATGAGGAAGTTCACCCAGGGAGAAATTACTGGGAGAGCTAGTGGTGGGCAGGATAATAAAAGCAAAGGGTGTAGAACCAAAATACCTCAAATACTAGCATATTTTAGCTCTTACTGTCAATAACTAAGTCTTAGAAGAAAGATACCAGCCTTTTAGGATGGGATAAATCCACACAAAAGCCAGGAAACTACCGAACAATTGGTGGTCAAGAAAAAGGTGGTGGCTGTCTGAGGAACAACAGAAAAGCCAGATTTGGCCCCCAGGTGGACCTGAGCTTCAGCTTTCTTGTTGTACAGAACTTTCTTGTTCTGCCTGATTCTGTACATCTTAATTCTTACTCTGTGCAGTGCCTGACCTGGTTTCCAAAGCAGAGTTCAGATATCCAGCAAAAGAGATCTATCCATTCCCAGAAGTTTGCTGCATAGAAAGGGAGAGATAAGCCTAGTGTTTCCACCACTGGCATCCTGGCAGATTACCACTGAATAATTGTAGCCCCCTATAGAAAATAAGTTCCCCAGAGGTTTGCTAAACTGAACTTTGCTTAATTGTGTAGTCCTAGGCATGCAAACTCCAACTATCTCAAGTACCACTGCATTCGGAGCTATTTTACTCTCAGGTGAAGTGGGCACAGCTTGGAGCCTTAACAGCACTAGGGCAAATTCTGTCTATATTGCAGAAGTTGTGCTGCAGCAAATAAAAATAGGTGGTCTTGTCATGTAATCAGCTATTCTAAAACATTTTTATTCCACAGAATGAATAATGGACCTGTTCTGGGCTATGAAGAAGATGTTGGAAGGAGGACAACCTTCCGGCTTTTCTATCCAGAGTCTGTTTTTTCAGATCCAATTCACTATGACCCTAACACAACTGCTGTTCTTGTTGTCTTCAAGCCCCATGACTTAAAATGGCTTTGGGATCTGTTAAGTGGCCAGCATGTAATTGTAAGTCCATCTCATTTCCCCCTGTTTTCTTGCTTTTGCTTCTACAGTGTTGTTCAGTACTATGCACCTAGGATTCATTTGAGATGTAAATTTTTTGATTTAGGAACTGGCTTTTTCTCAAGCCTAAACTGTAGATAAGTAGGTGGGCAGGTATGAGCTACCTACATTGTTAAGAAACTGCAAAGACATAGTTGTGGGAAATAGGTTTGATGAATAAGACAAATGAAGTCTGCTTTAGCATGAGATCTTGCTGTGAACTTTGACTTGTCATAATCTTTGCCTTTCATTATGAATGTCATAAACAGTAAATCATGCAAGGTATTCTGGTACTTACCAACCTAACATCACATTCTGTGTAATTTATTTATCTCAAGTTTTGATCCCAGTGAAACTGTCTGTACTAGCTGATATATTTATAATGCCTGCATGTGTAGTTTATACTGTATTAGATAAGATCAGTTTCTTTGAATCACAGTTTTTTGTTTCTGCTAAGCGCCTCTATCTTTCATGCAGCCAAACCTGTATTTACAGTAGGAGGTTTCTCTGATAAAGGGGTAAGGAAAACAGCACCCTTGACTGCTTTTCTGTCCAGTATTCCAGCATGGAGGGTTGTGGGGACAAGGCTTGCTTTGACTCTGTCCCTGTGGCTGCCTCAGACTGTCAAAGCTGTGGGATACCAGGAGATGGGAACCTCAGCCTAGTAATAGTTGGTAGGTCATGGGATCGGAGAGTGAACTCCCAAATGCTTGTCTCAGCCCAATCATGAGGCATGTAGGTGGATGGTGTATGTAGGGGCGTGTGTGCTTACTGGAAAGGAATGATCGGTATGGGCACGCAAGCTGCTTCAGCAGTTCTGAATGGCTGGTGCTGCCCTGGCATTGAGCAAGTCATCATGTGTCTGTAGAACATACAGGCACACAAAGTTACTTTCGTCAAGGCAGCTCTAGGTGCTTCATCTCCTAAGCCCAATTTCAAAGGGATGAGTTCTTCATCATGTTGCACAAGAGCCTGGAAATAGTTGCTTGGCAAAATTAGAGATGAGGAAACCCAGCAGGTGGTGGCAAAATGATCCTGTTAGTAAGAGCTAGTGCAAGGGCTGCATTTGATCCATTCTCTCAATTTAAGATGTGCAGCATCCTAATACAATATATTGATCTTCTCTTGTGCAGACACACAACTTTGTAGCCACATGTTCACCTTCTGTCTGTAAGCCTAGCTCCCCTTCTTTGAAATTGTGCATACTGTTGCACATTTGTAGGATGTTTGTGGTTTGTCCTATCCCTTGTGACAATGCTTTGTATCTCAGAGAATGTTCGCATTGAAATGTTATCTAAAATTCCATGCACATTTGTCCCCCACATGTCTTGCCCACATAAAATGATAATGTTTAGACAGGAAACCATGAAAGTTGATTCCAAGTCAAGTGGGATACTGCTGCTTTGAAAATGGAAATCCGTTTTCTCAACCCTTGGGCAGTGCAGAGCCCATGGAGCTCACTAATCCACTATACTCTGCCTTTATTTCAACAGGGGAAGAGGCAGTTGGCATTAGCTTTTCCACATAGGCTGATTTGCAAAATCACTGAAATTGATAGGTCCTCTCAGTGAAGCAAAATGTAGCATCCCATCTCTTTTGGGACCATTCTTTCCACCAGAATGCCAAATTCAGTTTCATAGAAATTTATTTATTTTATTATTTATTTATTAAAACATTTCTATGCTGCCCCATTCGCCGAAGCCTCAGGGCGGCTCACAACATAAAATATAATACAAAAATAGCAATATAAAACTAACAATATAAAATAAATAACAATATAAAAGAAGTCGCCCTGGCCAGATAAATAAGCGAATACTGTTAACAATTAAAATGATGCTTAAATAAAAAGGTCTTCGCCTGGCGCCGAAAAACAAATAACGACGGCGCCAGGCGGACCTCTCTGGGGAGCGCATTCCATAGATTGGGCGCCACCGCAGAGAAAGCCCTCCTCCGTGTACCTACCCTCCTAATTTCTTTCACGGAGGGTTCCCGGAGAAGGGCCTCTCCCACAGATCTCAAGGGGCGGCCGGGCATATATGGATGTAAGCGCTCCTTCAGGTAACCAGGACCCAAGCCGTTTAGGGCTTTCTAGGTCATCACCAACACCTTGAATTGGGCCCAGACTTCAATGGGAAGCCAGTGAAGCTGACGGAGGACTGGAGTCATGTGAACATAACGCCCCATCCCCGTCAGCAGCCTGGCAGCTCTATTTTGAACCAATTGAAGTATCCAGACCGTCTTCAAGGGTAGCCCCACGTAAAGCGCATTACAGAAGTCCAGACGGGAAGTCACCAGCGCATGTGTCACTGTCGCCAGGCAGTCGTATTCCAGGTAGGGGCGCAGCTGATGAATCAGCCGAAGCTGAAGGAAAGCGCTCCTCGCCACTGCTGTCACCTGAGATTCCAATGAAAGCTCCGGGTCGAGGAGCACTCCCAAGCTGCGGACCTTGTCCCTAAGAGGGAATGCAACCCCATTCAGGACTAAGTCAAATCCACCCTCTCCGAAGCCCGATCCGCCAACCAACAGGACCTCCGTCTTGTCTGGATTGAGCTTCAGTTTATTGGCCCTCATCCACCCCATTACCTCGGCCAGGCACCGGTTCAGCACAGCCACTGCCTCACCTGGATTAGTGGAAAATGAGAGGTAGAGCTGGGTATCATCAGCGTACTGATGATTCCGCAGCCCACACCTCCTGATGACCTCTCCCAGCGGTTTCATGTAGATGTTAAACAGCAAAGGGGACAAAATGGATCCCTGCAGAACTCCATGGCATAGCTGGAGGGCTTCTTTCTGGTGGAAGGTGGGTTCAAAGGCAAAGCAGGCTGAGACAACCTCTTTAAAGTTAAAGAACTGACTGCTGGTAACTACACCTTAATTATTTCAGCTTTGTAGGATGGGAAAAAATTAAAATGTCAGGAAACTACCAAATAATCTGCAGCTGGGGGCAGAACGTAGGGAACCTCAAGAGGAATGTGGTGGGACTCCATAAGAGCCATACTTGGCTCATGCACTGAGGTTCAGTACTGCTACTTTTAGGTCATTATAATGATAATGGGTTGTTATAGTTTGTGAAAGCCCAAGTTGGAGTCTTGTGAAGATTTACTTAATGTTCCTCACTCCAGGTAGACACAGAAGATACATAAGGTGTACTTGAATGCTTGATTATTAGAATTGGGTCAAAACAGGAGAAGATACTTTTAACTGTATCAGCCCTATTGATCCTTATGGTAGATATTAGATACCATCATTCCTGAAAATCTCTGAGGACAATGTGTTCCACTTCTGTTTAGCTTGTCCTACAGCTTTTTTATTAGGTGGCTATGGAAAGCAGTGTTGTCAAGTTAGTTTTCTCATTCATTCTTTTCTTTTCTGGAAAAAAAATCAGGATGTATTTTTGAGCTCGATAGGACCATCTGACCCCAGAATATGAAAAGCATAAGATAAACAATTTTAAATGGAAGCAATTTCTTTCAGGGTGAAACAGTATGAAGTGTCTTTCCTTTACAATGATGTGTGTGCGCATTTAGATCATATACTTTCCTGATATGTTTCACCAGTGGGTGCTCAAGACACTGCAGAGCAGCAGTTTTTAGTTATTAATAACAGTCCATGTGCTCCACAGAAAACCTATGCCTTTTGGAAGAAACCAGCAATGCAAATGATTTACAAGGCCAACCAAATTAGAATTCTGGATCCTGCCATTACCAGAAGGACAGCATACGATTTGCTTCATTTGCCCACAAAGTTCTCCCAAAAGGAAGTAAGTACTCTCTTATGCTGATGGTTTGGAAAATTCATGTTACTTTAATTCAGCACAACAGCAAAACATCTTACAAATACCATCTGATGACAAAAACATTGTACTGAGTATAGAAAGTACAATATAGAAAGTACAATTAGCATTTTTATTTTTATGTCCAACAACCATTGACTCTGGATTTGAACATCATAAAAAGTAACCCTGGGGTTATGTGCTTATTCCCCCTTAGTCATAGCTACCTTTGGTTTGTTTAACTCTTCCATAGCCATGACATACCAGTCAGAGGTTTACAATTGCTTAAGGCCATGACAGCAACTATATTTGAAGAAAATATCCAGGGTATACCTAGAACCTCAGTTTACCATGTCAGCACTGGTGTTATGATTGTTGATTGCCTAGCTTTTAACTAATTGATTAAAAAGGAGATTATGTACATGTATATGTCTTCTTTTAAATATGATATGAATAAAATCCATTTGCAAACAATGGTGAGTACAAAACAAAGTAGAAATAAAGGCTGTTAGTTATCTGCCTTTTAAGGAATCATCTGATTAATTGGATTTAAATAATGTGAATATTGTAAAAGCTGTTCAATAGTATAAGGCAACTTACACATTAATAAATCTTAAGGTGTCTGTCATTGTCCCCTGGATAAGGACAACTCTTCTCCACCTTGGATAAATGAATTAAAATAAATAATTAATTTAGACTAGCTTATCTGCCACTTAAAGCTTTCTGCTTTTAGTAATCAAAAACTATCAACTGGCCATTTTTTTTTCAGACACAGTTGTTTAGTGCTTGAGCCTCCCCACCTGAAAGCTGAGTGAAAGAGGAAGATAGCAGTGGTTTGGTGCCCATATCCACAGCCTGGCATCAAATCCTTCAAACTTGGGCCAAGTTACTTCTTCCTAAAAAAATTGGCATGTCTCTGTGAGAATTGAATCCTTATAGAAGCAGAGCTAGGAATGGAAGGAGTGCTACCTATCTGTTGTAAATTTCTTTAAGTACACAAATTCAGTAAGAGTTTCTAAAACCAAAAGCTATTTTGCTCATTGCAAAAATTGATGATGATGAGGAGGAGGAGGAGGAGGATGTTATTTTGGGGTTTCAGCTTTAGAGCAGTTTTGCATTTCAGTTCCTTCTTACAATGCCATTTATATCGTTCTTCCCTACCCTCCAGTGTGTGTATGTGCATCTGCCAGTTTGAGGTTAACACTTCATGCATCTAATGAACTGGAAAGTGTCCATGAAAATTTGTTAACATTTTAAGATGCCACAAGGCTCTTCATTGTTTTTGATGCAACAAACCAGCACAGCCACCCACTCTTGCAATTGACTGCCTTGGTACTTTTCCAGTGTCGTGAATGAGTTTGTGTCCCTTTATTTTGGCAGCCTTGTGCAAGTATCGAGTACACAGTTTCGTAACAAGGGACCCATTACTAATCACTTTTGAAAACAAACCCAGTAAAGATTTAGGTAGCATTTGCAGAGGAGGAAAAGTGCAATTGATCAAAAGCATGCCCAAGTCTACCAAGAACCCAGCCCACTGCCTGGCATTCAGTTGGGTAGAGGATGCACAGAAATTATTGGTCTACTTAGGAAAACAAATCCAAAGACACAGCAGTCTAACAATTAAAATGTCATAAAGTTGTGAGCAGCGTGTCAAGTTTTCCAGAGCTCTTAAGCACGCTCGGTATGAAGCCTTCTCCTTGGTTGTTTGGTGTAAAGTCCAGCTAAAAGAGTGCGGGAGAACTCAAGCACTTGCTGTTTGGTGTTACTGTAGATGATCCTAGTCAAGTCATTGACTATGATCCTACTCTGGCTAGGATGTAGACAACTAAATCAAGGCATTGCTTTTGATTTATTAACAGGTATATACCACTTACTTGCCAAAAGCTATCAAAGCAGCATACAACGATTTAAGCCATAAAGAACAAGAACATTAGACTATAAAATATTAAAAGAATGACATCGATTTTGAGTTGTTAAATCAATGAGGAGTAGGAGTGTGGTCTTTTCTGACTTTGGGGCTTTAATTAAAAGTGCTTACTTTAGGATATTTTAGGTAGATAGTAGAAGTGCAGTTTGTTAGATAAATGTGACTTTGCTTGCATGGTGTGTTTTTGTGATGTATCCAAAGCTTTCCTTTTATACAGTTTCTATTCTTGCATTGTGTTTTCTTTTGTTTTTTAGAGACCCAAACATCCCACAACAGGATTAATTGCCATAACGTTTGCATTTAATGTATGCAGCGAAGTTCACTTGGCAGGCTTTAAGTATAATCTTGAGAATCAAAATAGTTCTTTGCACTATTATGGCAATGAGACCATGTCTCTGATGACTCAGGTAATGTGCTATTTCCTCTTCTAGCATGCACATTTCTTCATCTTGCTGTTGATTGAGTTGTATCCAGTGATGGCTTTGCACTAGCTGAAATCATTTCTGCAAGGTTGAGTACCTAATTAAAACCATCTGTTGCAATTAAAATCCATTCTGTCTTGCTGCAGTCCTCTGTGGCATATCCCAGACCATTCCTGATGTTCCCAGTTCTCTGAAATAGTTCTCAGGAGTCTACAATAAGTAGGGGAAATGGTGACATGAGGTGCTATGTCTTGCATGACTGGGAGTACACAAAGACATTAGGTATAATCCAATATTTTTATTCCTCTTAGTTAAACTATTAGAAAAAATGACTGGATTTGTCATTGTTAAACTCACTGTAAATCTGAACTCAACAACTATGATTTGTTTGGACCCAACAAGCCAGGATCTGAAATCAGAGGTTGGAGCAGGCTCTAAGTTAATGTATGAGTGCCTTGTTCCTGCCTGAATTTACAGACCCCTACTAAACCACAATTAGGCCCCCATCACTTTGTCTTGAGAGACTGCTGCATCTGTGAGATAAGAATGAAATTGTATGTCTTGAAGAAATGGGAAAAAGAAACAAATGAGCATTTCAATACTTGGCTTGTTATACATCTGCAAAATCAATCCATGGTCTCGGTCCCTACCTGTGATTGGCACAAACAGGAAACTTACATAACTTCAGCTTCACAGCCTGGCCTTTAACAATGTGCTTCACTTTCACCTCCAGGCTGTTTGATGCATCACATTGTTTAGGTTTATGTGGAAGAAGCTTTAAGAGTGCCTGTAAGTGTCTTGCATAGGTGAACTCATCAGGAAGCCGTAACTGGCTTTTCCTCCCTCCTCCATAGGTGGATAGAAAGGGAGGCCGTGGCTTCCTTGATCTAACAGTGACATTTCCTGCAACCTGGAACATTTCAGCTGTTCAGTGGGCAACTAAGATCCTGGTGACCATCCTTTTGGTTTGGCTACCAAGGCAAATCAAATATTGAAGGCTCCTTAGTTTATGATTCAATTTATTTCAGTAAAATTCAGGGGAAACCTTCCTGATTGGGTGCCAGGATCAGAAAATATACTTATCTTCTTCCTTCCTTTTTTTATTAAAGTCTTTCTCTCTTCTCGTTCTTCACAGAATGCATACCATGACATTGCTGCAGAGCAGAAATTTTTGAAGGAACTTACAGACAATGGAATTGTGATCAATCTCTCAGAAGAGTAAAAATGGTCAAAATCACTACTTTCCACAAATTGGATTTCTGGAAGATGTCGGCTTTTATATGGACTCTTGTTAATATTTTGAAGTATTTATAGCTATCTGCCAAGATATTTTTAAAAAGGCATGTGAGAACTATTCTGTGCATAATGACTCAAAAGGGATAGATTGTTTCTGCCTTAACTGTCAATATTTGACCATCAAGCCATCCATAGCTAACTCTTGTTCATGTGTATCTATTTAACAGTGAAAGCAATATTGGAGATGTATAAAAATGATACTCTGTCCGGGCATGGCATGGCATGGCATGACATGACATCTCATTGCATCTCACTGTGGACTAATTTATCTACAGAAGCTGTTGTACCATCTGCCTGGCTTGCTGTGTTTTGTGGTGTCATGTGAACCCAAGTGGTAGAGGTTGTTTGAAGGTTAGGCAACCATCAAATAACCTAATCCTTGTTATTCTTGAATGATAACATGACATCCTATGACAAGCTGGGAACCATGCAACCACCTCCACAGGTAAATTAATCCATGGTGAGCTGTCACAGCATGTGAATTAATCCTCTGCCTATTAACAAGAAAACAGTTTACAATATCCAGTTCTACCCCCCCCACACACACACACTTTCTAAATCTTTATCTTTTCCCCTACATAATCACTTAGCACCTAGACTTTCAGAGGCATAGATTCAAAGATTGACCATAATTGAGAAAGTAAGCTATTGGAGAGAAATTAAAGCACAGTGGGATTATAAATGGGGCCAAGTTCAGTGCCTGGATGCTAGCACTGTGTTGTCAATCCAGTTTAGTTTAAGGTTTTAAATATTGGTGTTATCAAGAAGCTAGTGCAAGCATGGATGAAGGAGACACAGTTGTGACAGTGCAGATAAAACAAAACACTGTATTGTTTATTGTATGCCAAGCATGTGAGTAACATGGAAAATCTGATACTGGCCATCCAAGTTTTCCATTGATATGGTCAGAAGTTCATTGGAAAAGGAAGCCAAGTCTCTTTTTAAATAATGGACAGTAGATGAAACAAAAGCAGTTGTTCTTGGCTGAAACTCCAGCATCACATAATAATAATAAAGACGTTTTTCTAGGCAAGTTAATTTGGATACCTCCAAGATGTTGCAGTGGATGCTTAAAACACAATACAGAGGCTGCTGGCAGATCTTCAGAATGTTTCCAGAGCTGAAGGTGTTTTAAAGAGTCAGCACTTCATGAGGACTCAATCTTGTAGTCCAAAAGCTAAGAAGCTTTTGGTACATTGTGCAAATAAATGAAACCTCTTTTTGTTTCTTTTTTTAATTTCTTGTTTTGTTATTTTTTAATTACAATGTTGAGATACCTGCCTGTGAGGAAAGGAAAACTGATAGGCAACAATTTCTTTAAAGGATTCACTGTGGTGGAGATTTTGTCTTCATTGCCTTAATCCAAGTCTATTCAAACATTTCAATAGAATCTCAGTGTAAAAAACAGCACTGATTATGGGCTTCCATAATGGATCTCCCATTCACTTAACAGCTTGACAGCCAAGAAAAGAAACTGGGCAGCCTTTGATCATGGCTGTCTGTGTTCAGGCTGTCTGTGTTCAGGTTTCTGGTGCAGGTCTCAACTGCCATACAATCTAATGGAAGAGGCAGCCAGATTGCTCCATCATGGTATGGGCAAGTTGGGACAGGGTGGAGGACCTTTTGGACATTTTCCCATGCAAAAAGGAGAGGGGAACATTTACCATCCTTATGGGTGTTGTAGCGGATGTTACCAATTTTTTCTCTTGGTTTATATTACTTATCCTTGAAATGTATAGAATATGCACCAGTGCTCAGCAGAAGCTTTTTTCTTACATGTGGAGATAAAATGGCAGCCAGAGGTTCATCTGCTTACATCTTTGAGTTAGGCTGCTGTGCAAGTGCAGAGTCAGTAAAAGCAGATGGCAGTGCTAGAGCTGATGAGCCATGCAGCTCTTCCAGGAACAAATCAGTAAGTGCCAACAGAAATCTAGCATCGTTACATGGACGGTCTGTTCCAAAACTATTTAAGCCAAAGATCACAATGTTTCTTCCCAAGGAAGATACTAAGTTTCTAGGTCTATTTGTTTCAATTTTAACCCTGGTTTTCTAGTTAAACAGAGCACTTTTTGTAAAGCATCTAATGTTTCTTAATCTGTCAATTTGCTTGATATTCTTTGATACACTAGTTGTCTTTTTGGCATTGTTGTATATATTCTAAGGGATTTTCTCTCCTGAATGCTTTTGTCTTGTTTTGTTGTGCTGATGGTTTTATTGCTATGGTTTAATGGACAGGAACTGATGATTTGAAAATGTGACAATGCAATTATATGTCTTGCAGTATTGATTCCTTTTCTCTGCTGAAAGAAAGGCCATTTTATACCATGATATCACATGTATCTATTAGTCTGGTCCCATTTGAACCCAAGGTGTGCCAAGGAAGAAAAGGTCTAGGCTAACAATGTATATGTGTGTCAGCTGGTCAAAAGGAGAATGGAAGCAATCATGTAGAGATACCTGTACTCTCCACTGATAGGTACCTGGCATAGCCATTCTTACTTATAAACATCAAACAAACAACAAAAACCAAACATTTTATATATAGCCACAAATAAACACATGGATCACCTTGATTTGCCTTTCAAAAACACTAGTGCTATACAGTTAACAGATTTATTTTTTAAAATATATAGCCCTCTGGAGTCTACAGTCACATTGTTTATTCACAGGAGGGCACTGTGGTTTGATGTAATACAGAACAGTCTTCTGTACCTTAAAATGGCATGTAGCAGATGGAGTTTCATCAGATGTAGCTGGCCTGTGAAGATGTACCTGCTGAAAGTTCCTCTATTGTGGAGGAATCCATTTCTCTTTTGCCTCCCCTAACCCATTTCCCTCCAGATAGATTAGTTTACAAGTCAAAGAATTCCTGACCCCATTGGCCATACTGTTTTGGACTAATGAGAAATAAAGTCCAAAACATCTGGAGAGCACCAGGCTGGGGAAGGTGAGTAGAGCATGAATGTAGGACTTTAATTCCTCCAGATTTCTTCCCTTTATACTCCATGTGGAGCACTGCTGCGGTGCATTGTTTCATGATTTGTGTAATTCACCGCAGAACTACATCCTGTTATATAAGCAAGGAGTATTATACCTAGTGTGTACTTTTGTTAGAATCCAAGTATTTTCAAAGAGTGAAGTCCTTTGGCTTTGCCAGTTTCTACATTGGAACCTTAAGACAGTAGATTCAACTGGACTATTCTTGAAAGCAGAGACATGTTCGTTCAGTTACTTTTTGGAATACTGGAACATGAGGATGGCTCAGATATACAATCTTGAATTCTTTTTAGTTTTCTGGCTCTGAGGTATTAATATTGCTTTCTGAATATCAAGCAATGGACACATTATTACCTGACACAAACTAATCCTACTTTGGAGAGAAAAATGAAGTAGTGTGATTGTTACAGTATCTTAGATTTTTAAATGCCTAGTCTAGTCCTATTGTATGGTCCAAGCCATCTTAACATTCTAAAAATTTAAACTATAGTTGTTTTATATTTTTTATATTTTTGTGGGGAAGAAATTCTTGCTTTGGAAAATGGAACTATTCCTAGCTTTTCAACTATTTTTTGTTTGTTGTTTTTTATGTCTATGTATTCCTACTTTGATGCCCATGGTAGCCATGTGTTTAAACTGAAATTCTAATATGAATATGAAGAGACTTATTTTTGTTATAATAAATGTTAAAATTCTATGCTTGTGTTTGTCCTCTGTTAAGTTACTGTGTGCATTCAGTTGTGTATTGTAGCTTAACTGCACAGATGTCACACAGAATATGACTGATGGAGTATAAGATCATCCCTTCACACCCTTTCTATCAAAAAGCATCACAAAGTGAAAAATGTGTAGTTTTCCCAAGTGCCTTCCAGTTGACTCACAAATAAATTGAAATAGATGTTCTTAACATAAATGGTAGGTTTGTATATTTCAAGCACAGCAACTTGTAGTGTAATCCTATACATGTCTACTGCAAGTAAGTCCCATTGAGTGAAACGAGACTAATTTCCAGGAAAGTAGAGCTAGCTTGCAGTTTTAGAATACTTTACAGATAACACAGAATGGATGCAACCTGGTATCCAAAATAAATGTACTCTGCTCTCTTTTTACTGCATGGATTACAAGGGGTAGAGGAACAACAAAAGATCAAAATATAATAGTGCTGATCTTGAGATGGCAAAAAGTACTAGAAACAGTAAATTTACTGGGGCTACCACTCCAGCATTGGTTGTTTCTTCAAATCCTTTACAGAGTAGAAATGCTAAAACCACAACTCCCATGCACCACAACCAGCTGCCGCATACACTTTCCTATTCTAGCATAAGGGCTTCAGTGCCTTTTCTGTAGAAAAGGAAAATGCTGCAGATTTAGCTTGTCATTGCAAAGGGATCTCTGGTCACCCTTGTGGTGAATGCCTGAGATTGCAGTGTAAGGGTGTGACATTTTGTGACTCTCCAGACATTTCTGCCTACACCTGCTGTCCTGGTTAGAGTAGCTCATGATGAAGGGTCATGGGTATTGAAAGCCACAAACTCCCTACCCATGTTAACTAATTTAGGGCATGCTGAGACAAGAAAGCTCTGTAACTCCCAGCATTCCCCAAACAGCTGTTTTGAGTAGGGAGTATTGGGGATTTTTTTCTGTCTAAACATGCATAAGGAACTAGACAAATCCCATCAAAAGCCCGGAGCGTTCTTTTTAAAGACTTTTACTATGTACAGAGCTTTTGTTCCTTTTTACTTTCAAATCCCACGGAAGCTGATTTCTTCAAATGAATTCAATAATATTTTGTAATGCTAGTGCTGTACCCTTGAGTCTTTCCTAGGAAGACATGTTTTGGTATCTATAGTGGCCTGTTTTAGCTTGGGCAGTGTAGATGCTGCAGTTCTACCAAGGTTTTTAAAAGACTTTTCCCCTAGAAATTAAAGGGAACTGTCAAGTGGTTAAGAAATAAGTCTACCACCATCAAGCAGTTCTTAAACTCACACACACACCAGAACAAAGTGTTAGACCTAAGTCTCCCTCTACACACATTTTGAGCAGCTACAGATGGCAACAACCAGCATCTTGGAAACTCAATCACAAAACAAGCACAGAACAGGCAATAGTAAAGTTGAGCATAGTCTTGAGCAAGAGATTTTATTTTGAAGTGACTTGCAAACATATTTCAGCAAGCCTCTGTGAATACTATTTTTACTTTAGCAGTTTTCAAAAGAACACTTCTTCTTTTGAAGAAGTGTTGCCAACACTTCTTAAGGACTCAAGAGAAATGGTTACATAGGATGAGGGATCATGCTATGTATACAAGACCATGACGGCACAACCCAGTGCATTCCTAGCCAGATGCATGAAAGCATCTGAAGGTTATGTATGTGCAAAGACAGAGCAAAATGTGGCAGTGATAGCTGCTGCTGCTAAGCCATTTTCAGCTGTCTAGATTTAGCACCGGCAAGGGGAAGGGAAGGAGGCTGGGTTACAGATAGAAAGCCTTTACCTTCTACTCAGCTTTCTCTTCTTACACACCACCCACCAAGCAACAGACTTTCTCCCTTCATCCACAGACTTTACAAATTCCTGCCAGCTGTCTTTTCCCACCTTCTCCCTGTTTGTCCACAGAATTCTCTACTAAACATGCTAGATTGGCCGTCTCACCCATTATTGGACCATGGATATTGGAGATCTTATTGGGCAGCAGCTTGGCATTTTGAAGCGGTGTCCAAAGACCTGAGTATGGGCTGACAGGGCAGCCTCCAGACCTATGGGTGGGTGGAAGTTAGAACATGGCACTGCTTTCAACAGTCTGGGCTAGTCTCCTCCCAACAACATATTTCCCTTGCTCCATTACTACCCTGATGGAGCCTTCTGAGAGTCCCTTCTTCATTTGGCTTCATATCCTTTCTCTCAGGCACACCATTATGCCCCAAGAAGGCAATCAATCACACTCCCACCAATGCTTCTAAACAATCAGATTGGCCAGGGCATCAGCGAGGTGGGCCTTCCCTCCTCCCCATCCCAGAGCAATTCTCCCACATGGGAGACAACATCCTTTTGGTGTCATCCCCCTTGGTAGTAGTGCTACATGAACCTCACTGCCTTGTTCGTAGACTGGTAGGTAGATTCTTTTCCTCTGAGTCAACACTGCTGGCTCACGTTGTAGTCAACCTGGAGAAAGTTTTCCTGCCAACTATACCATATCCTGATTGCAACCATAATAGATGGGTGCACAGCAGGTAGGGCAAGTGCCTGGGAGATGGTAAGAAGCAGTTCACTTGCCATTCAGACTGCCTCAAGTCCCACGGCTTGCCTGTGGCTTCAGGCCTTGATTAACCCTCCTAATAACACTAGTTCCAGGAAGCAATCCTATGCACGTTTGGACACACAAGGCCACGTGTGGCTGGGCATGCTGGGCATTGTGAGACCTTTTCTGTCTAATCTAAACTTGTTTGTACCTTTAAGCTGTTATCAGTAACACAGAATGGAATTCTTCCCAGAAGAAAGCTGTGTGAGTTGATAACAACAGAAACAACAAAGAGTTTTGTGACACCCGGAATTTATTCTGGCATGAACCTTGGCAGACCCACTTTTTAAGCCACTGCGTCCGATACACAGAGAATTACAGAGTGTTCCAGTTTTTAATACTGTACATATGGGGATGGGGAGAAGTGAAGGAGATGTAGTCAGGAGGAAATTAAGTGCAGAAAGTGGCAATCACGTTATTAACAGGAAGGGAAGGAGAATGTTATGCTTTTATTTAAATAGAGCTGTTTGCCTGTCAGCCAAATTTACTGTCAGTATGGTTAGCTTGCCTGTATTACCATCTGGTAGTATTTGTCCGCTTTAAAGATTAGCAGCCATCAGGTCTTCATTTGTAAATAGAAACCATTTGTGCCAAAATATGTCTTTTGTGATCTGGAGCATTTGGGGCCAAGTCACATCTCTTCCCATAGCAGCTGTTCCAGTTTGATTTTTTTCTCTTCTTTTTACTGCCTTGAATAAGACTATCAGGCAACCAAAAATGCAAGTTAAATTCAACAATGTGGCTTGGGGAAAATATCAGGTAATACTAAATTTCTGGTTTTTAAAAACTGAAGTACCTTTAACAATATAGTAATATATAGTTAAAGCTATAATATTAAAATATATGTTAGCTTAAAAGTTTGCTCTTAGCAATAAAGGAGATACATGATCCAAACTAAATTACAAAATTTAAGATAATAGCTCCATGATCTCCAGCTTTTTTTCCTCCCTTGGACGACCTCAGGAATCTTAGCAGATCACTTCTAACACAGTCCTATACATATCTACCTAGAAGTAACCACACTGACCCCAACAGAGTTTACTCTGAGCAAGTATAGGATTATAGCCTTTAAAAACTTTATGCTTATTCTGTAAATCAAAGCAACATGTAATTCATGTTTCCATAACTTTTTAAAAAATCAGTATGAACTTCATTGTTTAAACTACTTCTGCATGAAAATCATGGGGTTTAAATCCAGGCTGATGAGAAGGGTTCTTTAACTGGTCATTTTTATCAGGTAAAATGGTAGATTCCACCAGCACCCCTTTTAAGGAAGTATTGGCTGCCTGGGCCTTGTAAGCCTGGTTGATCATCTGTGCCTGGTCAACATTGCCTCAATTGCCACCACCAGAAAAATAAAAAACCAAGCAAACAAATGACTGCAGAACCAGGTGCAGGTATTGTCGCCTGTTTCAGAACCTTTCTGTGATGGGCCACTTGAATGCAGCCATGGATAACACTGCATCTTGAGGTCTGCTGCTGAAGATGAAATCTCTCCCAGTTTTTAAGGTTGCCAGTTTTTAAACGGGACCTCTTTTTGTGTGTTTAACTGAAGTCTGATACCTATGTGAAGATCAAGAAAGAGATCTCAGAGGATGTTTTGGGATGGAAAGGAGGGGAGGGGACTTAGTGGCCAGGATATGAGGTCCCGAAGCTGTGCCAACCTCTTTCCCTCCATTCTGAAATACCTTTGCTTGATGGCCATTAGCAAAAATGCAGAGAAAACAAAGTGATTTCTGCTGTAAATTTAGAAATAATTCTTATAGTTTGAAAGTTTATTTGCTTATATAATGTTTGCTAATTTATATTCATATATACAAATATAGAAATTATTATTATAATATAAAGTACTTGTCAACATAGTGCAGAACACTGCAAAGAGGTGGCCCGTGTGCCCTGTTGCACTGAAGGACAACTCTTTCTTCTGATATCTCTTTAAGCCATTTTTTCCCCTAGATAGCTCTATGGACCTTTGAGCTGCAGCTACCCTCTGTGTGTGTGTGTTTTAGAACAACAAGAAATAAATAGGCTGAAACGTTTTAAAAAGATATTTAATAAGCATTTTTACAATCAGTACAAAAATTAAATACAAAAGTATGTGCTAATTTCACTTCTCGCATAATCTTTTCTTAGCAACTGACCCAAGGTACCCCTGTATTATAAACGGCCTACTACTCTCAACATTCCATAAAATTCTGATTTCCTAGCACCATATCTCTGATATTGAAATCTTGTGTTGAGGTTATACTGCCTTAATCTCTGTATTTAAATAATGGAAATGCCAGTTTCAGTTCATGTTCCCTGTGATGGTAGAGTCTTCTTTTGGTTAAATATGGAGGCTGCTGTTTATACAAGTGATGAGCTAAACATTTAACATGGTTTTAAACATATGTAAAAATGTAAAGTGTGCAGCACTGTAAAGCATATTTTTAAAAATAACTTCTGCAATTCATTTTCACTGTGAGATTAGCACCATTGTTGAAATGAGAAGAAATGATCCATCGAAGGGTTAGAGTGGTTAAGCCCATTGACACCAAGCAATCCAATCCAGCTAGGGGTCATATGTACACAGGTGGGCATCTGAATGAGGACAACCTGAATTAGTGTGTGAATGGATACTGTGAGTCTGCAGGACCAGTTCAAGCTCTGCTACAACCATAGGCAAAGCTTCCTTCTGATGGATGTGGGGATACAGGAGTTCCTATTCTCTTCTGAAGGGTTTTTCTGCATGAAACTTCTCCTCACTGCTCTGCAAAGGGCTGGCATAAGCAGAAGGGGTTCTGGAAAAATCCTGGGTGGGTTGTCCTTCCTGCAGAAAACCTAGACTCAAAGCAGAGATCCTTTTAAGTGTGTGTCTACTTTTCATTTTTACTGAAGAGAAGATGGTAGCCCTTAATTTGGATCCTAAAAGTCCTCCTACCTGGCCCCACTGTTGTTTCAATCTGGGTTGGACCGCCTGCGTGTGCTCCAGAGTAAAAAGAAAAGATGGTCTAGCTGATGGATACACATACATAAAGGAATGCCAGTTTGGCTTACAGTGGTCCAATGTCCCAGAGTGGCAGGGAATACGGTATTCCCCTGTGGATGGTCTTATTCCCACCATAGCCTAGCACCTCTTGGATTCCAATGCCTTATACAGCTGCTAAGACTGACGTATTTAAGGCCAGCCCTGTGCATGCACTTCCTCCCCAGTCCACCTGCCAGGGCTCTGTCCACACACCCCTATTGAAAATATGGTGAACCAATCAGATTTTCAGCAGAAGGAAGCAGAGATGGATGGAGGCCTCTGCTCCCTGTTCTTGCTGAACTGTGGATCCACCTTGTCAGTTTTCACAGCCATTAGCCATAAACCCTTTGGATCAGGGTCAATGGATAGCATGCCTAACTGCATGCTGGACTGGCTATGGCATTTTGCTCTTCCACATGTACTGTGGCTTGCACAGACTTGCAGGCAAATGTAGGTAATTTGGAACAAAATGCAAATACTGAGAGTTACCAATCAGTCACTCCTTTCCAGGAGGTGATTGCCTTCATGTAACTCATTTGCATGATACTGTGGTAACACTGAAGCAAAGTGTATTGTTCAAAGCAATCACCAGGCCCCATCCTCTTCATTTGTTTAGTGGGCAAAGGCGCTGGTGCATAAATACTCAGCTTCAGTTTTGAAGATAATCAACAACAAGACAAATTAGTGCTTTCTTCCTAGTTCCAAAGCAATTTTTTTTTAAATCACCACCTAGAACACAGGTTCCCAAATAAAGAGGTAGACAGATAAGGGCCCTGAAGCAACTAAAATTAAGCTCTATACTATCCCTTTGTTTTCAGTGGGAGAGTTAGGAGCCAAATGACACATGATGTAGGTTGCACTGTAGCTTCCCTCCCTCCAATTGCAAAGGGAATAGCTGAGGAAAGCAAGGGGACCTATTTTAATTCTCTCTCTCTCCAATGAAAATCATTCCTGGGGTGGTGGGCATGGGGGGAAGCTCTAGGAACATATAGTTGAGCAGGGCCTCGTTTTGAGCAGAAAATCTGCCTGAGAAGCAAAACTATAAACCCTTTTAAAAAGATGTTTAAACCTTTTATACATTTAAAATCAATGTCATCCTTCTTACATGGGGTTCGTTGATGTAGTGTATGCATGAATTGGGAGGGGAGTATATTTGATTCAATAACACAAATGGTGACAGGAGGCTGCTAGTCACAACGACTGTAGGCTATCTATATGTATACCATTGAAATCAAAGCCAGCTAAAAATGCTTAGCTTTGACTAGATCACACCTAAGACATTCTGCTTGTTTGGGATCCATGATGTAGATATTACATCCTTGCCTCACCTTAGCTACATGTGACTTGCAATTCCCAGTATCCATGTCCAGAGGTCCCTGGGAAATCTGGGACAGCGGCAACCTCTACCCTGCACCACACTAACATTAATTGGCCTCATTGAATAGTTTTATCTAAAAGTCACTGATTTTCAGTACTTCACAAAACTATCTGGATGCTTCTTAAAGTATTCCAACAGCTCCTTGGAAAGTAACCCGCACTGCTAATTGCTGGAAAAAGCATTGGGAATGTTTTCATTGGATTTCTGTCAACTAGCTAAACTGGAAAGGAATCATTTTCTACCATTCTTTGTCAATACGTTAGAAAAAATCTGCACATAAAGAAAATAAAGACTTTGGGCAAGCCTACTTTAAATCAGTGTTGTTTAAAATATATAATATATATTTATATATATATGTACAATCCTATCAAATAATTTTTTCATTTTTTGTCTTCTTGATTTCATTTCCTATGTTAGCTGAATGTGTTCAGGTAAGCAAACCATAAAAGTGAGTGACAAGCAAGCAGCCTGATATGGTATTATCATCAATGAAACAAAGCAGGTAAATGTTGAAAATTTTCAGCGTACAGCAGCAAACAAATCCTCATTGGGTTTATCACCATGATTTCTCTCTTTATAACAAGTTGTTCAGAATGTTTAAAGTTTTAATTTTATTTTAATTATTGTACATGTTGGTCCAAAATAGAGAAAATTAAATGCATCTTTCTATGGTATAGGACTGAAGCACAGAACAAGAGTTTTCATTTTGTCCAATTGTTTGGTTTACATGGGATACAATAAATATCCTAAAAAAGACGAGTGAACGTACTGCCCAGCATAGAGTCCTGCTGCCTGTTCAGATGGCATCTGGATATAAACTCTGTCACCTTGCATCAGCTGAATGACAGCGCTCCCTGAAGCTTGGTCCAGGAAGCCTTTCTTGTATTCATCATACGTGTACATCAACGGCTCATTGTTCTTGAATAATGCCACCCAGACATTCCCCCCTTTGCAGTGGACGTGGTATGCAAAGTAGTAGATCCCAGGGATTTCGCAGGTAAAGATGCCAGTCTGTGGGTTATAGTTCTGCCTGCCATTATAGAGGACCTTGTCAAACATCACGGGCACCCCAACCCGTGGGAAAGGAGTGGTGAGCTCAGCCGTGAAAGCTGGCATCTCATAGGTAACAGCACCACCATTTTTGCTTTTCTTCCCCATATAGCCATGTGGAGTCTTCACTCCATCAAGGCCTGGGCCCACCTCAGGCAAATATTGTCCCATGGCTGGTGGTGTAGGCTGTATCATCACTGGGGGCCCTGGAGGCCCAGGGGGCCCTGGAGGGCCCTGGAGCCCTGGCTGCCCAGGAGCACCAATAGATCCAGGCTTACCAGGTGGTCCTTGCATCCCTGCAATGCCAGGTTTCCCCATTCCTGGAAATCCTGGAGGGCCTGGTAGACCCCGTTCACCTTTTGCTCCTGGAAGTCCAGGAGGTCCAATCGGGCCACTGGGTCCTGCAATGCCTGGGATTCCAGGGGGGCCTTGATGGCCTTGAGCTCCTGGGATTCCTGGTTCTCCTTTGGGTCCCATAGGCCCATGAGCTCCTGGCAGACCTGGCAGACCTTTGTGACCAGCTTCTCCTTTGGGTCCAATTGGACCAGGCAAGCCTCTCAGACCTGGAGGCCCCACCTCCCCTGGAAAACCTGGCTTTCCTGGGAAACCCTGTAGTCCAAGTTCACCTTTTGGACCTATAGGCCCTTGAGGCCCAATAGCTCCAACTTCTCCTTTAAGACCTGGGAACCCCATAGCACCTGAAGGTCCCATGAGTCCTGGTAATCCTGGTTGGCCCGGCTCCCCTGGTGGCCCACCCATGCCAGGTGGGCCCATGTGCCCCTTTTCACCCTTTGGCCCAAGTGGCCCTGGAAGGCCAGGCATGCCACGATCACCTTTAGGTCCATGGAAACCTGGCTTCCCAATCCCAGGTAAACCAGGAGGTCCTGGTAATCCTGGCAAGCCTTGCTCACCTTTCCCACCTGGAAAACCTGGCTGTCCTGGGATTCCATCCTGTCCCGGCTTTCCTATGCCTGGAAGACCAGAAGGACCTTGAATCCCAGGAGCTCCTGCCAGCCCTGGAGGTCCTCGCTCTCCTGGAAGCCCTGGCTTGCCTGCAGGTCCCTGTGGACCAGGAAAACCAATCATTCCTGGCTTGCCTATCCCGGGAAGTCCAACAGGACCTGGAGGCCCAGGCAAACCAGGTGGACCTTTTAATCCTGGCAGTCCTGGAATCCCAATGCCTTTGTCGCCTTTTGGACCCGGGGGGCCTTGCATTCCAGGTTGTCCTTTCATTCCTGGCTCACCCTTTGGTCCTGGCTGTCCTGGCAATCCTCTGTCACCTGGTTTCCCTATTCCAGGTAGTCCATGAGGTCCTGGTGGTCCTTGGGGTCCTGGAATGCCCATTGGGCCAATTTCTCCCTTCAGCCCCATCTCTCCTCTTGGTCCAGGAGCCCCCATTCCTCCAGGTTTTCCTGGCATTCCGGGCATGCCTGGCTTGCCAATCCCTGGATATCCTTGTGGACCTGGTTTTCCTTTGGCTCCTGGCACTCCAAGTCCTGGTAACCCTGGAGATCCAGGTGGGCCTCTTGGTCCAGGCTCCCCAGGAGGACCCCGCTCACCTCTCAAACTGGCTAATGGAATTTCTGCTTGTTAAAAGATAGAAAGAAACATGTTAATAATTATGTCAGTTGCATATGCCCTGTGTACTTCAAACAATTTTAATTTTGCACTCACTTCAGTTGTAACATCATCATGATTACGGGAATAAATGCAGTTTACTTCTGCTGTCCTGCTGCCCTCATCATCCTCATCCACTTGATGGGCAGCCATTTTTAGTCCCCTTGGCTGCTGGACCTGAACCTTGACCAAAGCTTCATTTCTAGCTGCCCCACTGCCTCCCTCCTCTTCTTCCCTGCCCATCAGGCTGCCAGAAGAAGATGAAATATTTTTTTCAGAGGTCTGGACTTGTAGAGGCCTTTTGAAATCAAAGTACATACATTGCTCAGCTCTGCTCAACTGCATATCCTTTCCCAGTACAAACTGTTCTCGGTTGTGTAAAATGTTGGAATAAATAAAAACCTTCCAAGGGTACCTCTAAAAACAATTTTTGTTGACAATATAATTCACACACTGACTGAGTTTAAATAAACATATATATTGCAAAACTTCAGTAGAAGTTTTGAAGAACATGTATTTTAATGATAAGAATTTCTCCTGCAAAAATTAAAACACTGTTGTGTCACTGTTGATGCATCCCTTTCCATCCAGTTTGGAAACATGGATCTTCCTGATGAGCAGAAAAACCCAGAGTCTAAATGGTACTTTAAAAATGCCTATTGGAGGCTTATCAATACATAAGTACTTATTGCATTGTTCATAATTCTCAGCAAGCATGGACTTTGGCCAGATAGAGTTGCAGTCCTATGTACACGGAGGGGTCTAGACTGAAGAGGGCTGTGGATAACCTCCAGCTAGCTGCAGGAAATCTTTTCTGGTCCTGGAGCTTCCCTGTCAACTCCATCTAACTTGGCTAGTGCAATCTGAGATCAGGTAGGGATATAGCAAATCAGCCCATTGCTCCAGCATTGGTGATACTGACCAGCATCTCTCCCAGCTTTCAGGAAAGAATTTTTGCAATCCTTCCTGCAGATGTTAGAAATCAAAGCTGGGGCCTTCTGCATGTAAACCATGTGATCCTCAATTGAGCAACAACAACCAGTCCTACTGGTGTGTACTACACTGGAAAATTCTGAACATTTGGATGCCTCTAGCTGCACAAAGATAGTCAAAATGGTGGGAAAGTGTCATCAAAGTGCATAAATACACATGCTGGGTTATTCACAACTGTATAATTTTGGATATTTTATTTCAAAAATCCTATTGGTATAACATTCCTATAAACCACAAACATATTGCAGTCCCAAATTCCTTTGGAAATAACTCTGATATGCTCTCAGTGTTCAAATGAATGCACCTATTTTCTTCAGTCAAACAACGGAGGGTAGAAGGGAGTGGGAAGTTGAAGAAGAACAGAATTCTTTTTGCCAATATTACTTTTCTGTTTCCCTAAATTACCTTTATCTTTCTTTGAAATCCTCTCCTTACCAAGCATGGGTAACTGTGGGATTTCTTTTATATACTGAGGCACGTATTCTTTCGCAAATGGCAGGTGTGGTGCCTCCTTGCCCATGTGCTGCAATGGAATGCCATCTTTCCCCAATGGCACATGAGGTACTTGTCCAAGGGGTTGGTACTGAGGCACTTGAGGAGGTACCTGCTTGATTCCATAATAAGCACCAGCGTGGGTAGATTTTGGTAGTTCAGAGCAAATGATTACAGCCACCACCAATAGCCATGTAGGTGCTGGCAACATAGCCATAACCTGCATGAAAGAAACAAAGAAAAATATATAACAATGACTACAAGAATAAATATTGCCAATGCAAAATCTTGGAAAGTGTGTTCCATTGAAGCTGCCATTGCCTTCCCGTGAATGTTCATTTTGCTGCTTCTCATGAATGTAAACAGTGCTGGTTGCAGGTTTGGGGGGTGGGTTTTGCCTTCCTCTCCTTAGAGGCTGAGCTCTCAGTGAAAGCTCACCTGGCAGCAGTGGCAGGCATTACAAACTATCGTTTTAAATTTCTCAGTAATGGCTTGGATTTAGTGTCACTTCAGGGCATTGTAAGAAATCAAAATCCCCACCCCATTGTAAACACCATGTTAATTTCCCACAATGCCCCAGAGCAACACTTTGTTGGGGATCTTGTTGGAAATTTAGCATGGCAACCTGCAGGCCACTGTGCTCATCCCACTCTGCAAAGTATCTCAACAGATGATCTTGGCTGCCCAAGTGCTGTGGTTTGGAGGAAGGGAAGGAGCTGAAGCACTGCCAGCATATGCAATGTCTTGGTGGCACTGGCATCTTCCACTTCCTACCCCCAGAATGCCACCAGAGCCCCTCCAAGGCTGCCTTTGTGGCCTTGGAGAAGCAGGACTGTAGACAATCCTAAGCCTCCTTCCACAAGATGTTGTCAAGAAAGCCAAAGGCTTGTTCTGAGAGGCAAAATTCCCTTCCGCCGATTGTCCATTTTAGCTGTTTTTGCTTTTGCAAAAGGCTGCTACCAATAAATGACAGTTGATATCATGCTTTGCAGTTCACATCAGGGCACAGTTTTACGGCATGACAACATTGGCTGGGAGGCCAGAGTCCAAGCTTCAAGATCCTTAGGCCTTGAAGTTGGGAATCTTAGGGCAACACCCCATCCCACCCCTTTGTAGCTTCACACTCCTGCCAGGATTGCAACTGGAACTTGCGTAAGGGCTTGCCAGCAGTGGCGCCCCACCTACTTCCATCCCACTCTCTGGTGCTTTATCTCGACAATCAAAAACAGCCACCTAGCTAAATTGCAGGGACAGAGATGATGTACTACAGTAAGCGAAGAATTGGTGGGCTTTCTTATTTATCTTTTACGTTGTTAATGGCTTTTTGACACTTTCCGTGAGAAAGCAACATATAAAGGAAAGGATTAATCCCCCCCCCCACCACACACACACCTGTCGCCTTTTCTGGTTGTAGTTTATGAAGAAGGCTAATGCAGATCACAGCACATCATGGATGGAGCTCCTGCCAGCTGCACTTTCTGGGCTGGTTACAGGAAAATGAGTATCTCATTTAACAAAACTCTGTCCATTTGACTGCCCATGTCTGATGAAGCATAAGCTGTTCAGTCCGATACCCACAGGGAGTGAAGGCTCAGTCATTACAGTACAAAGAAGACCCTGTGCAGCAAAATAACCTTCTCAAAGAGGGGGAGATGGAAAAGCATAGCATGGAGGCGGGGAACCTTTGTGTACATTCAGGAATTTGAGAAACTGTCCTTGACATCACCACAACACAGCTGCAGTGGGGCAAAAAGCGAAAGAGACATAATGACTGAATATGAGGCAGAGATGGGGTCTGAGCAGCACACTGCACAGTTCCTTTGAATGCTCGTTCTTCAGCACCAAGAGAAAGCTCTTGCACAGCAACCCCAAAAATGAGTTAATTGAAAAAAGTGAGAGGGCGACGGTGCCAAGAAAGGTTTTTGAGGATGCTCTGATACCTGAGGACACCACATTACCTACACCTGTCTCAAAGGAGCAAAGGCATGGATAAGATTACTTTGGCATGAGGAAATGGCTCTAGCAAAAGACAGACAAAAGAAATGGAAGTGATTCTAGAAAATGGTTCTCAGAATATGCTCATCACATACCATAAGTTTCCCAGCTTTAACTGATCCAGATCAGTAAATGTTTATGAAACCTTTCTTTCCAATATCATAGATTAATTGCTGTTGCTAGAAGAAAATCAGGGTAGTGAATGTGGATTTCAGCTAATGTTCACAACTTCACAACACAAACATAATACTAAAGATGGACCAGATATGATTCAGGACAGTGTTGCCTTCAAAGCTTCCCTGGCTCTTATCTTTTTAGCTGCAAGAGCAAAAAGAGACACTTGGTAAGCCACACGCACATCAACATCTGACAACAAAAACACTAACTTTTCAGGATCAAGATAAAATTATGAGTTTTTTTCCCCGAAGAGCGTTACTAATTTATGTTAAGATCTTCTTTAAAATAGTGCCTTAATTGTTGTAAAAGCCTTCTTAAACCAGTTTTAGTTTGGGAGATCAGGACCATATAATCAGCATATAGCAGTATTGAAATTTTTAGTTGATCCAATGATGGGGGTGTAAATTGTGGTCTTCATAAGCTCTCTACAATATTATTTATGTGAAGGATTGATAATAAGGGGGTCAGCACGCCCCCTGCATCACACCTTTTCTAACGGGAATTTCTTTATTTAGGGAACCAGAGGTTCCCACCCTGATTTATGCAACCAGGGTATCTCCTGGAGCAGAGAAAGAAGTCTTTTGTCTATGTCCATTGCAGTGAGCTTAGCCCATAGGCATGATCTATTGATGGAGTCAAATACTGCTGCCAGGTCAACAAATGCAACATAGAGCACCTTTCTGTGCCCATTAATACCAAAATGGGCTAGTTGATACAATGTTTGACAGTTGTCGATGGTTCCAAGGCCTTTCCAGTAATCTGCTTGTACTGGGTGTAGAATATGCTCTGTATCCACCCATTTTGTCAGTAGATATTTAGTATAAAGTTTTGCTGGAACAGCAAGTAAACTTATTGGTCTATAATTTTGTGGGTCTCTTCTATCCCCTTTTTTTGGATATGGACTACAATGCTGTCATTCTAGCTGGGTGGGATCTGACCTGTTTCGTTAACCAAGAAGAACACTCTGGCCAGAATTGGAGCCCACCATTCTGCAAAGGCTTTAAATAAATCTGGTGGAAGCATATCCAGGGGATTTGCCAGGTTTCAGAGAGGTGATTAGACCTCTGATTTCAGCAGTTGAAACTGGCAACCATTCCAATGTCTCCCTGGGTAAGGAAAATGCTTCCTGTGGCTGTTGAGACCCATAACCAGTATTGAAATAAGATAACCAAACATGGCCCGGTATGTATGAATCAACCTGGCAATACGGACTATTCTTATGGTTAGCAACCAGTTCCCAGAAACAGGAGTCTTTTTTTTTTCTTTTTTTTTTTTGGAAACTTCTTAGTCTAGCTCTTGCCAAAGAAACTTAGCATGTTTCAGTTTCTTTTGCTTAATTAAGTTTTTATACTGGGACCTAAGTGGTAAAGGTTAGACAACCCACCTTCCCTACTGTGCCTAACTTGTCTCATGTGTCATAACAGTTCTTTTTAAAAGATTTTACAGTCATGATGGAACCAGCCATTTTGAGCATTGGTTGTTGGTGTATTGTTCATAAGAAGAGGCTTAAGACGGTTGTTAATTTCACCGAAGATTTGCATAACGTCAGAATTGTGTTGCAGGAGAGAGTCTCTCAAGCAGCTCAATGCCTGGCTTGACAGAGTATCAGCTAAAATAGAATGCATTCTGTCAGACCATTTAAGTCTCCTATAATTAGGAGTGAGATCCTCTTCAAAACCCATAAGCGGTTTCATCATGACATTGGAATTAACTTTAAGGGACAAGTGTTGTGGGCAGTGATTGCTCAAAGTAAGGTCTAAAACTTTGAATTTAGCCACCAGATTCATTAAGGCAGGAGTAATAGCTACATAATCTACAGTGCTGGCCCTGCCAGTCCCAAGGTAAGAATAGGTGCCACCAGTTATATGAAAAGAGGTGCCATGGAGTACATGGAGATTAGAAATGAAAAGGAGCTCCAGAACATTTAACCCATACTTGTTCACTACTGAATCCTTTGAAAATCAGTCTAGAAACTGGTTATGCCTAGCATGCTGAGCATTCAGGTTTTCCCTCCTCAAAGATGCCCACTCCTATTCTCTCATTAAAATCCCCACATAGAATAACATGCACATACAGGAAACAAGATATTAGCAAGTCTAGCATATCAGTTAACATGTCCCAGATGCAGGCCCTACTTGAAAAAGGTGAGCTCTTGGGTGGAATGTAGACATTTACTCATAGTAAACTTCTAAAATAATAACCTTTAAGGAGTAGAGTCTGGAAATTACTGGGCCAGTTCTCTACAACCTGGATATCAATGTTTAGGTCCACTGATACGAATGTAGCCAAGCCTCCACTTCCTCAACCCTTTGAGTGCGTTTTGGTTGCAGGGACAAAATAAGTCCTGAATCCCTGAATATCCAAAGTGTCAGGGTTCATGAGCTGTGTTTCTTGAAGGCATAATATATCGAAGCTATGGATGAATGGTATAAAATCAGAATCATAAAGCTTATTGTGCTAACCCGTCAGGTTCCAAAAAGGAACTCAAGTTGTTAGCTGGCATTTGACATCTTATTTTGGACCTCATCAGAGACCCTAAAAAAGGAACCATAGTTTGGGGGCCCTCCACCACACTGGCATTGGCTGCAGAAATGAGGACAGGGGTGTTCCAAGCTGCCTTCCCTTGGGTAGAAGTGGAGGAAATGACTTCTGAGTGTCTTATATATTTTCCCTCAGTGGAATAAGAGGTGAAGTAGGAAGTAGGAAGAAGGAAGTGAAGTAGTGTCAGGGCAATTCTTGGGTGATGAAGATGGGCCAGGTGACTTTGAGTTGTTTTCTAGCAGGGATGCAGGTTAGACAATTTAGAAGGTTTGTACTGATTTTCTTCAGGATTAATGCCAGACTGATAGTCCAAAGATATTAAATCAATTAAGGGCTTTGCTGCTGCTCAAGTCAGCAGCAGGGTTTGTTTCAGTTCGTCCAACCTTCTCAGTATGCCGTCTTGCTCTTTATTTGGTAGGGCTTCAAAGGAGGTAATTAGATCCGATTCCAAGGCATCATCAGTGCCAGATCTTTCTCGTGTAATTTCAGCATGAATATTCCGACAAAGCCTGGTCAAGGTTGTGGAAGGTGCTGGGTTACTATGGCTGGCTCCTTACCTATGGCATAAGGCAGGGGAATGACTGCTTGGGGAGATATGCCAGAAAGGATGCTTCTTTTTTCATTGTGGAAGACTTGCAATGGATATATTTGAAAGGCAGACAGAAGATGTTTCATTTTAAACAGCATACCAGGAATGATAGAATGATTGAAAGGCAATAAAATGCGTTTGTGGCTTCTCATGCTAGGGAACCATTCCACAGCACTTAAGTCAATCATGTAACTTTGGCATGGGAGAAGAGATAGATAGAATAATAGCTCTTCTGGAGGACCAGCAATCAATGTTAAATGTGTTGGGTGTAATTCTTAGTGCAGCCTAATGTGTTTGAAGAACACATTTACACATATCTGTACTTAACTCCTTGGCAGAAGATGGAACTGTGTGCACTGCCTCTGATTGTGTATCCTTTCTGGACTTAGGGGGTTCTTCTAAACAGTTTTGCTTCCTTAGACGATCTGTGGGCAGGTCCAAATTGGTGCCAAAATTAAAGGCTGTTTCAGAAGCTGCCAGCTTGTCTGCAAAGCCTTTGAAAACAGGTTTCAAAAGCTGTTTTTAAGACATTCACCTTTGTATTTATTTGAGTCAACTGTTCAAACATTGAAATCACAGTTTGGACAGTTAATAGACATCAACAGCAAAGCCTGTTGTAAATTCACTGGATGGTTGATTGTGTTGCTCTTTGTACCCCAAAGGTTTATAACCATCAGGAAATGGTAATGTAGGCTAAGGTTCATTCAAGTGAATGGACTCCTCATGCAGAGTGGAGGAGGACATGTCTAATAATTGTTTCTTGATTTCTGATTCCAGGTCCCAGTTTAGTAAATCGTAGCTGTTAGAAGTAGAAATAGAATAAAGGTGATTTCTCTTGTCCTTATTACTTATGGTCTTTCCATGTGTCACATAATCTTCAATTTTTGGTTGTTTAGTTGGCTTGGGCAGAGTAGATAAGCCAGGGCTGGTCCTGCTGCTTTTGTTGTTCTTGTTCCTCGCCATTGCAACAGGGGCTTGTATAGTATTTCCAGGAACTTACAGATCTGAGATGCAGTGTCCTTTGTAGGAGACTTGATGTTAAAATACTACTGGATAAGAATTAGTAAGAATTAAAATGAATAACTAAGCAGATAATAAAAATAAAGTGAAACTGATAAAACTGATAAGGTATCAGCGGGAGCTCAACAGAGAGGCTGTTGCTCCATTGCCATCTTGGAAAAACTCTCCGGATTAGGCAAAAAGTCTCTCTCTAGGATCTCTCCATGGCCCTGATACAGCATCAACCCGTGTAGGCAAGAGTTCCAGTAGGCACAGGGTACAAAACAAGCATCTCACCAAACCTGTGCAAAGCCTGTGAAAGTGATGTATAAACAGCAGAGGTGTCTAAGCAGAACCATTCCACATTAAATGATCATGCTTTTTACCATGATGCTTTTGAGCAGGCTGAATGTAAAAAAGAAAGATCTAAAAGATGTCAAAATTCCCTCTGATAGTAAAAGCAGGAAAGGAAAACCAAGAAGCAATATTAGCACATGTACACTAGATGGAGTGTTTGTTATACAGTTCTAAAATCCCACATTTCTGAGAAGGTTGATCTTCAGTTTATAGTACAATAAATGTGAAACAGTTATTCATTGCGTAAGATCCCAAGATAAGACGTCTCTTTCAGGAATGTAACATTTCTTACCACATTCAAGCTAAAATACCTGACAAATATGCTTTGCTACCCAGCATATCCACTGCAATGTTACTGAAGTGCAGAATATACCTGTGGAAGTGATAAAGGCTCGAACCACATGGTTTTATCTTGAACAAATAATATACTTTCATGAAAATTCCAGAAGAGTGAGCAGACTACTAAATCCTCAGGCATTTACATTCATCTTGTTAAACTAAAGAATGAAATTTAAGAACAAGCATCTTGGAACTTGAGGGCCTGCATGTACAGCATTAAAATAGTTGAGTGACGCATAGTATGCCAGTTCATAATTGCACACAGCTTCCATTCTTTGGCTTCTATATTCAGCTGACATCAATTTGGAGGCCTGAT